TCACAGCACAGTCTACAATTCAATATGATTTGTATTGTCTGTGATCATTTCCCACTAAGCTGGCCATGTCTATATTAAAATGCCACAGGACCCCAGTTACTTCTATGTCAATGCAGAATACCTTAAATCCACCAATATGATGTTTCTGAGAATCTTCTCCATTTTGGCAGTATATGCTTCTGAGTCTACTGCACTCATACACCTTACCATATTACACACTTATTATTTTATTTTGGAAAGGAAGAAAATTAAGTTATATAACCTTAGTCTTCCATAACCAAGCCATCATATGCATGCATGTTGCTCCCCACACATAGTTAGGGTTTATTATCTCCATCTTTCATCTCATGGGCTTTTAACCATTCCAGATCACCGCCAACTTGTATCTATGAAAACTGAAAAGACCAGAAATGTTTCCACTCTCTCACACAAGAACACACTATATTACTGCCATATTCCACACAAAACAATCACTAGAAAAACCTAATTTCATTTCTTTTCTACTCTGATTGCAACTTACTCAAATCTTCTTTCCTAATCCAGGCAACAATCTATCTTCTATTTGAGTGGCATTTTTCCTCCCTGTCACTCGGGCATGCATTTATTGTGATGGTCATAGTGGTAGATGTTTGGACAGGGTCTCACTGCATAGCCCTGGCTAGCCTGGAACTCACTATATATATTAGACTGGCCTCAAACTCACAGAGATTGACTTTCCTCTACCTCCTGAGTTCTGAGATTAAAAAGGCTCAGTATCACACCCTGTGTGACAAGTCTTTTTATTGTACTTGAGTATTCAAGCCAGTTATTTGTCCTTACAGAAATCCTATTGTTCTTATAGTTGGAAACACACTAGTTAGCACATAAGCTATATAAGGTAACACAACATCAAATATAAGTGTTAGAATAAAAAAAAATCAAACTTCAAATGCCAGTACTGTTGCCAGCTGTACGTGCTGGGCAAGTTCCCTGACAACTTAGAACTTGAGTTACATTATCAGTGAAACACAGAATGTATATCACACTGTTTGGTAAGAATATATATATGGAGCTGGAGAGATGGTTCAGGTGTTAAGAGATCATACTGCTCTCCCAGAGGACTGAAGTTAATTCCTAGCACACACATCAATGACTCACAACCTTGGGTAACTTGAACTCTGGGTGACTCAATGGCCTCTTCTGGTCTCTGCAGGCACCCCCACACTTGTAGAATATTTATACACATATGTATAGGCACACACACACACACAAACACACGTAAAAATAACTCTGTAAACTATTGCACACATTGCCTGATGCCTGTAATGAATAGTCAAAAACTGTAAGGTACTACAGAGCTCAAGACAGCAACTCATACAAACAAATGTGTACAATTATCTTGGTGGGATTTCTAGCTGGTGAAAATGACATGACTATTCTCATATCATAATTTTGCTCTTTCTTTTTAATTAAATGCTAAGCACGAGAGGACAGGAATCCTAAAACAACTTTTCCTTGTGCCTCTATTGCCAACGTATAGGACCATGCTGGTAAGTATTTCCCTTTTCTTCCCAACCCATCTGAAAACAAATTTTCTTTCATTTTATTATGGAACATAGAGTCAATGACCTATTACTAAAAATATCTGCTACACAAAATAATCCATTCTGTTTTACTCTGTTTTTGCAGAGGTGTTTATGAACACTAACATGATATTTTTTGGTGTTGCCTCTACAAAGATTGGTGTGACAAATGATCAAAAGAAAGAGAACAAGTGACCTTAGGTGCCCAGCCTCAATTACTAAGTAACTTCTATATCTATGACTTGGGGAACACAGCAGAAGAGAGTCAGAGGAACAGGAAGTCTGCCTCTAGACAGGGTGTTCTAGACACGACAGGGATACTTATATTCATGAAAGCTCAACAATATGGTTGTTTAAACAGGGTGGACAGGAGAACTTTTACAATGCCATAACCCTTGATGAAGCCCTATGGACAATCAATGATTGCAGACAGAAGGAGAAAGAGCTTTCTTCAAGGGTAAGTTCCCTGACAGATTCTCCAATCCTAAAACATCAGTGTTATGGTAGAAGCTTTGCCTCAACCCCTGGCATCCATATACTCAGAGTCTGGAATGTTATGGTGTAAATTGCATCCCAGTCCCCTCTCCTATCTCCCTCCAAATCCTGTTGCATCTCAGAAAGCCCGCTACCCAAGACACTGGCCCCTCCCCCACCCCAGACCCCTGCCTTCCCAACCCCTCCTACAGGGCCACACCACATGTTTCATTCAGTGGCCCACATTCCGCTTATTTCTTCCCCTATCAACCTCTTCCCCCTTCCTACTCCTTGCCCATCTTCCCCCCTACCGCCCCTCCCTATCCTTCCAGGGCACCTCCTTGCCCCCTATACACACTGGCCTATACTTGACCTAGCCTCCCCAGCAGGGGCCACAGTCCTGGCCACCCATTTCAGTTCTCAGTCAGTGTCAGATATTACAAAACTTTAAAAAGGCTGAGGACGGGTCCCCAAACTCCCATACAGAAATTGGTGAAAAATGGCTTTTACAGTTTTCAGTGCCCAAGAAGAAGCAGCCAAGTCTTCCTGACAGATGAGACTACAACAGAAGGCCATGCTCTAAGCTTTAGCAGCTGCCCTGAGGTCACAGGGGTACAAGGGAAGTTGACCACCATCAGGCTCCATCCCACTGGAGCTCAACCCAAGTCAACTCCAATCAGAGCCTGCTACAAATGTGGGCAGGATGGTCATTTGGCAAGATATTTCCTGGACAAGGCCGTGCCCCATCTGCTGTCAGCCTGGACACTGAAAATCAGAATAGCCCCACGAGGGCTTGTCCCCTATGACACGCCACAGAGGTCCAGTCTCACCAATACCAGCAGCTGAGACTGTGCCAGCCTTTGAACTATTCAGCCTGGCAGAGGACTGATACAGCCCAGACTTGGTGACTCCCATTGCCCTCTTGGAGCCCAGGGTAACACTGCAAGTAACAGGTTAGGTGCATTACTTTTCTTTTAGACATGGAAGCTAGCTACTGTGTTTTGACCTCTCACTTGGGTCCCACAGCTCCCTCTTAAATTCCTGTCTCAGGGATGGATGCAACCCCTCCTTGCAATTTCAGTAAAACCTGGGACTGTTTTAGCTGAAAAAGCTGTCTACTTCTACTCATCTACTTCTCCCTCTTAGATCTGATGGCATTTGACGACCAGGGTACTGATAGCTCATTAGTTCATTAAGTTATGTTCCCTGCTAAAAGTGCGGGCAGGTGTGCCTCCTTTACAGGCTTCATAGTCAGGGATTAACAGGTTTCAAATGTAACTTCAGAGGTTCAGAGTTTTAAATTTCCTCTGGCTGTCTTCTAAAAATGTCCATGCCTTTTAACCTAAAGCCATAGCCTTTTGCTATGACACCAAGATCTGTTCCAGCTGTCTTACAGATGCCTGCAATTTCCTAGGAGAAGTTCTGCTTTTATATCAAGAAATCTAGTCTGATAAAAACAGTCTCCAGAGCCCATTTTTACCCCACCCATTTTTGAGCATATCTTGCAGGTTCACTCCTCCTTATTGGGCCACGGTCAACCCACAGAGGGTCCTCCAGATAATGCCTGCACCAGCTCCTGCAATTTCATCACAGGTACCACCTCTCCAGGCTTAAGTGGAAACCTACCCGACAACTGCACTCTGGTTTTCCAAGATGTCCCAATGAAGGATACATCTGCTCTCCTGTCTCACTCATTCACCCTTGCCTCTTCTATCTTACCCGGACACTTCTTTATTCCCTTCATTCTGGTAGTTACCTCCCTTCCCATTGTACGCCCCATTCATAGAGCCAATGACAATCTATTTTTTTCTCCTAGCAACCTGCCTTCTCCGCCTCCTCAAGGAACAGGTGCCTGAGAGCTACAGGATGGCAGCTCACCAAGTGCTCTTCCACCCACACCTTCTGCTGAGCGTGAACCCATCAACTCCTGACTCTCACCCTCCCCTACATCATCTCTTTTCAGTTAGAAGAAGCCAGATGTGAAGCAGCGTCCATATATCCAAAGAGTCTGGGATGTGATGCTGGAAGCTTCACCCCAGCTCCTGGCATCCGCATACACAGAGTCTGGGATGTTATGATGGTGGAGTCTCCACCCAAGCCCCCCACCCTGTCTTCCTCCAAACCCTACTGCATCTCAGAAAGTCCACCAAATGATGGTCCCTCCCCCAGAGACACTCAAGACCACTTCCACAGGGTATTTAAACTGCCTCCCAGAAACTAGACTCCTGGTTTTTCTGGTCTCCCTTTCCAGTCTCCTCTCTGAGGAGGATTGTATAATTAAATGTGTTTTTTTCTAATTCAGTTTGATTTGGTCTGATTTAGATTACTGCATAGGCAGAAAGGTTTATCTGGGTGCCCAAACTTTTCAATCAGGCCTAAACACATATACATACAAGCAATACTAGTGGGGAGGGGTTCCCTTGGTTTTTTTGTTTACTTGTTTGTTTGTTTCCTTTTCTGATTGTATGTTATATTGGAAATAGACTTTTAAATAATATATTCTTATTACAGTTTCCCCTCCCAACTCCTCTTAGATCCCCGACTCCACCCAAATCCACATCCTTTCTCTCTATAATTAGAATACAAACAAGTACCTAAAAAATAAAAAGAAATAATTTTATAAATGGTATAAAATAAAACAAACAAACCAGAATAAGATGAAACAAATGAACTACCAGGAGAAAAAGATAAAGCACAAGAAACACTTACAGACATAATTCATACACAGAAATCCCATAAAAAACACACGGGAAATCACAATATATGTGCCAAAGACTTTGAAGGGGGGGAAAATCTACCTAGTCTTAAGCATTTTGTTACAGCAACACAAAACTGACCAAGAAAACTATATGAATGCTATTTCAATGACTACATAACCAATATTTGAAGATATTAGAAAGCTATTTAAATGTGACTCAAACAATAACTTCAATAACAACATCATGTAAAATCCAGACTACTTACCTTTCTATAACTGGATATTCTGCGGTGTACATGTCCAATTCTTTCACTGCACACGGTGCTGAATTTATTCTGAAGGTCAGTGGGTATCACTTCATTCAAAGAATTAAGGCTGGTGCAGTTTTGTACAAAATGATCATCACTTTTTGCTAGGGCTTCCAGAATCTGTGGCGATAAATATACACAAAAGGAAGTAACTTCAAAAGTGAGCACACCCAATTTCCCTGAGTTCGCACTGTAGTTGCCAGGGTTTCTGCAGACAGCCTGTAAACTGGTTTGGCCTGTCTGTTTGCAAGCTCAGGGTTTGACTCACCTGGATGATAAAAGCCTGCTCAAGGAGCAGACTTCAAAGACTCCCTGCTGGATAAACCATCTCACTCTGATGTGGTACATGTCTCCTGGACTTCAGTCATACACATTCACTCAGAAGATTTTCCCCCTCAACTTGGTGGCGGAACAACACAACAAACTAAGGGAAAAAGCACTGGCACCCTTGTTACCTAGTGGGGCCACAGGGAACACAGGGAACACCACCTGCTGAAAGGCTGAAAAAATGAAAACTTCTCACAATGCTTTGTCTAGGCATTATAATTTGCTTTTGCTTACAGACCTTTAATTCATCTATTATGGTTTCTGATTTTGTTTTCATGGATTTTCTGTGTATGCAAATGTGTGTCCCAGTGTCTCAAAGGGTTCCTAGAGCTTTTCTTGGCCTTTGGTTTGTTTGTCCTTTTCTGGTTATTTATTTATTTTCATAATTATTACTAATGCCATTTTGCATGTTAATAAGACAAAGAAAAAAGGGTATGGATTTGGGTGGTGGGGAAGTGGGGAGGATCTGGGAGAAGCAAAGGGAGGGGAAATTTTAATCAGAATACACTGTATGAAATGAATCTACTTTTAGTAATAAACAAGAATAAAAGGGAATCAGATTAGCCTGCGAAAAGGGGAGAAAAGAAAATTATATTGGTAGATTATAAAGTGAAGTGTATCCAGTGTTTCGGCAAAGCATGCAAAAGATTTTGTTTATTTGTTTGGTTTTGTTTGTTTTTCAAGACAGGTTTACTCTGTTTATCCCTGGCTCTCCTGAAACTCACTTTGTATACCAGGATGGCCTTAAGTCACAGACATCCTCCTGCCTCCTGAGTGCTGGGACTGACGCATGCACCACCACCAGCTCTGGATAAGTCCCCTGCCAGGTGTCATTAAGACCAGGTAGGAGATGGATACAAACAAGTCAGCTCGGGGCTGTCTGCCCTGGGTAAGTAGATGCGAACAAACATTTTAAAATGAATGCTATAAAGGTAGCATTTCAAATATTAACAATTAAAATGAACACATAAAGGTCAAAAAGCTGTATCTTATCTATCCAAGCTGCAAAATCAAAGTTATCCGGGGACAATGGAAAAGCAAACAGGAACACTAATGCCCAGGTATGCAGAGAGCACATCTGGATCCATCAAAGGTGGTTTTCCTCTTTCATGTTATATGCCATTCCAGAGGAAGCTGGTACATAGTGAGTCACAGGAGAGCTGATGAGCTAACCGCTGTAACAAGCACAGTCATTCTGTACAACAAAGAGCAGACAGTTCAGGTGTTTAATGAAAAGAATCTTACTGTCACTCATACCTTGGCAGTGAGGCTGAAGAACCCTTTGGGCTCCACCATCTTCTCCACAACGTTGCACTTTGTGCCTGCTGTGCTGTCGTATTCGTAGACAACCCCGTACTCGAGGTGGACATTGTCCACTGTCAGACTAACATGCTCCTTCTTGCCGTCCATAATGGCCATGGTGCTGAACTTGTCAATGACCTCTGGAATACAATTTTTGGTGTTGTTAAGTCATGTTTTTTCCTCCTCATCAAGTAACTGCTCTGGGGTGTTTTATTATTTTTATTTTATTGTTAACACGGGATCTTAATATGTAGCGTTGGCTCACCTGGAACTTATCGTGTATTCCAAATGGGTCTTGAACTCAATAGACATCAACCAGGCTCTGTCTCCTAAGTGATGGGATTAAAGACATGCCCAGAGAGTCTCTGCATATTTTTGAGTTCTTTAAAGGCTATCTAAGCTAAACGTGCTAAATGGCATATCTGTTCTTGCTAATGCTTTAAAAAACAAAAATAGTTTTTAAGAAAAGCAAATATTTGACAGATTCAAATCTTGCAATTTGAGTATATCTAATCTGATTGATATATCACTTTGATCAATGGGCTACATGCATACTGATTTATATCAATATAAATACTATTGAGGCAACTGCATCTTTTTTTGATCATTGGAAGTGTATGTGAGGAGCAGGAAAGAAGGCTCAGCAGTTAAGAAAACTATCTGGTCCTGCAGAGGACCTGGGTTCAGTTCCCAGCATCCACATGGCTCATGAACACGTGTGGATCTGGTAACCTCTTCTGGCCTCCATGAGCATCAGACATGTACATAGCACACATACATACACATGCAGGCAAACACTCACACACACACACACACACACACACACAATAACAAAATAAGCAAGTCTTTTTAGAAAGTGAATATGAATCAAGGTCAGGTGTTCTAAAAATGCCCTCCATCATGGGATGGAAATGAGCTCAAACGATAAGGAAGGAAGGTAGGAAAGGAAGGTAGATAGAGAAGAAGAGAGGAAGGGAGGAAGGAAGGAAGGAAGGAAAGTCATATTTCTGAGGCAGGAGGGGGGGATGCAAAAATCATCTTTGTTTCCAGATGCTTGAAGTTTCCCAAACAGAATCTTGGGAGAATTCACTGAGAAAGTCCTTCAGTGTTCACTAGACTAGAATTTCCATCTAGAAATTTCAACTACAGTTTATCCTACATTCAGAAAGCTGAGGAGTAAATACCTAAATTCTCATGGAAGAAACTGTTGTGTGGCCTAATAGTAGATATTAAGTAAAAGAAAATAAATTATTTATAATACCAAAGTCCTACAAGAAAAAGGAGTACGTGTATAATATACATAAGATAGATAGATAAATATTATATTCATATATATTTTATTTGTACTATTTATATATATATGTGTAAAAATTATAAATATAACACTAACATCCTGCAAGAGAAAAGAATATATATCTATATGTTATATAGATATTATATATTTATATATATACATGTTTATATATAAGCATATACAAATTTATAAATATATAAATATCTGTGTGGTTTTAAAGAAAATGGTTCCAAAGGGAGTAACATTATTAGGAGGTGTGGCCTTATTGAAGGAAGTGTCAGTGTGGGGATGGGCTTTGAGATCTCTTTTTCTCAAACTTTCCTCAGTGTAACAGTCAGTTGCCTTCCTGTTGCCTGTAAGATGTAGGACTCTCAGTTCCAGTACCACATCTGCCTGTATGCTGCCATCCTCCCCATCATGATTCTGGACTGAACCTCTGAAACTGTAAGTGAGCCACCCCAATTCCGTGTTTTCATTGTTAAGAGTTTCCATGGTCATAGCGTCTCTTCACAGCAACAAAAAACCCTAAGATAATATCTATATATTAGATATAGGTATCGATATAGATATCACCTATAAATATAGGTGTATTTATTCTTTTCTCTTGTAGAACTTTGGTGTTATAAATAAACCATGCATATATGGTTTCCTATATATGTTCTATCTATATATAAAAGATATATTAACAAATGTAGAATAGCAGTTTACCTTAAAGTAAAGAAAAATCCAATTCAGTTTCTAACTGTCACATAAACCAATTACTTTTTGATGTGGACCAATGGCAACATATTCCAAATAGAGAGTAAAAGCCTCAGGACCCAATTCTACTGTGAATATATAGTATTACATCTTATCGTAACAACACTACTAATCTGATGAGGTTGAAATAGGTCTTATATTACCCATGCATTGGATAGATCAAGCCAAGCATCCTTCCAAGAATGGGGAGAAATCTCCTCATGAAGAGTGAATACAGATGCCACACAAGAGGAATAGACGTCTTTGACCTTTGTTCCCAATAAAGAAAGTCCTTGCAGCTGAGATTTGGGAGGTTGGCTCAGTTGGTTTAGTGTTTGCCTTGCAAACACAAGGGAGCCTGACCCCCAGAATCCATATAAACATGCTGTACTACCGTAGTGGCACACATCTGTGATCCCAGTTCTAGAGATGCTATACAGTATAATGAAACACATCTGTAATCCCAGTTCTGGGGATGCTGTATGGTACAGTGGCACACATTTACAATCCCAGTTTGGGGGATGCTGTATAGTATAGGGGCACACATTTGCAACCCCAGTTCTAAGAAGACGAAAACAGTAACCTCAGAAACAATTAGAGACTCTTTCTCAAAGGAGGTGGATGGAATTCCCAAGGATGACACCCAAGGCTGGTCTCTATCTTCCATATGCATAACCATGTACTCACACCCATACAAAATTAGTTAATTAAATAGATAAAATCTTTGTCATGTATTGAGTAGTAGACATGATAGCAAAGTCACACCCCACCCCTTTTATGTGGTGCTGGAGATCAAAGTTGGCTTTCATGCATAGTAGGTAAGTACTCTACAAACTGAGCTATAACCCAGTGCTCTTTTGTTATTCATAACAAGATTTTGCAACCAAATGTGTGAGGTGTAGCTATACGTACTCGTGATTCCTACAATCACTTCAAAATGGCAAAACTGGTTGTCAGGGAATCAATCATGTGATTAGAGGTTGAAGTTTAGCTCCCACTCTGTTGGAGGCAGGGGCTCCAATAAAGTTAATTTTAATCACCAATAGCCAGTAATTATTCAATCATATTGTGTCACAAGACCTCCATGAAAAACCTTAAGTTGGTAGAATCTGAAGAGTTTCCAAGGCAATGGATACATACATGTGTGAGAAGACAAGTGTACCCAGACTCAATGGGACAGTGTGGGGGACACTTACAGAACCTCATTGCACACCTAATTATGTGGCTGCTCAATCAGTTAAATTAAGTAAATTATCCTTCTGGATTTTGAGAATCATTTTGCCAAAATATTAAATTTAAAAAAAGAGTGTGGATACCCTTCAATGGTTGGACAGAAATTAAGGTGGAAACACAAGATTGCAGTGGCCATTGATGGCAAAGGCAGGGTGCAGGACTGACAGCTTATCTGGTAGTGTGTTCTCACTCCCTGAGAACATGAGACATAGGGCCCCCAGGTGCTGTGTGGAGAACAAGAACAGATTTTCATACATAACATACCTGAAGTGTTATCCAGAAGAGAATTTCCCAACTATCATTTGGAGGAAATTTACAATATAATAGAAGTTATTCAGAGTCCCACTAATAAATATGTTTGAAGGATACAACAATGTAAGAGTAGAAGAGTAGTAGATTCAAGGATCTCTATGGAAAAGTTCTGAAAAGAAATCACTCAAGACATTTGGCAAGTACAGGCATAAATACAATAGTCTCAGCTGCTGTAGGAAAAGGAGTCACCGAATACAGACATTTGAAAGACTGCCCCACTAAGAAACAGAACAAAAGCCTTTCCAAAAGTGTGTGTGTGTGTGTGTGTGTGTGTTTGTGTGTGTGTGTGTGTTATCACAATCATAGATATTTACCTCTTCTCTTATCGCCAAGCTGGGAATATAATAAAAATACTTGTATCGGGTATATTTTTAAAGGAGCTACAGACTATCTCAACACTAGGACTTCTTGTATGTACATGACCAAGTGAAGCAGATCTTACGAAACAGGTACCTGAGTCATCGGAGCTGGCTGGGGTGGAGGAGGTAGAGAGTCTGCATTTCTGCCTAGCTTCCAAGGAAACTTATTATGGTAAGCCCCATAGGAGCAAAAATGCCTAAATGGCATTTACCTCCAAGAGGGAAATCCTGGGTTGGCTCCACCTCATGCTCCTGTGACTTAACTAGTACACTAGACCCTTGACCTAAATGGTCTCAATTTCTTCTTCCCTAAAGATAGTATCAGGAAACTAATGAGACTTTCTGTTTTGACAACTAAATGAGAAAATCTAGGAAAATCCTGCAAAGGGGCCTGCTGCAAAGGCTGTGATGGTCAGCTATAATCCCATCACTTAGGAAGACCATCACATAATCTGGACAGACTGGGCCCGTAAGTGAAACCCTACCAAAAAAAAAAAGGCATCATTTGCCAACCACTATCTAGTACTACTTCTATTCCTGCAACAACATGAATTTAGTAACAAGTCACAGCCTAGAAATATAAGACCTCAGTACTTGGGAGCAAACACAGATACTATGGAAAAGAATAGTATAAGCACATAAGGAGAGAAAAAAAAGCAACCTACCTTCTACTTTGCAGTCAAAAGCATCCTCTGCATCATCTCCAGTGGGCTTTGAGGAGCACTTCTGGAGGTCTTCATGAGCACTTTCAAGACTATCGTAAACCCACTGTATGGAATCTTGCTGGAAGCAAGGGAAGGGAGAACTCTCAGAGATACTGTGTAGATACCAGGATGCATATTAACTTCATGACCCTGCTTTAGATAAAAGCTTGACCATCTAGCTTGTTTATTTTTTCAGTTGAACAGTAATAAATTTTGAAACAGAAATTAAACCTCAGAATGGATATCCAATGACAATTCAGTGTTCTGTTTCAAGCTTAAATTACCTTCAGAAGATATATTTTATATATTTATCCTAAAGATGCATTCTTTAGGATGTGACATAGTTTTCAAATGTCTTACTGAAATGACTCAAGTATATCTTTAAGTGGGTTATAAGTCATACCTTAAAATATACAAATGCTAATTTGCTATACCAATTACCTATAATTATGCACACCATTTTAAGGTCCTAACATACACTGTATTTCAATACATCAATGGTATTATGAATCAAAGTAATGTGAAATTGGAAGACATCTGTATCATACTGAATTTCCAAGGCATGTAACATCCTTTCATGTAACACATAATTCGTCCTATATTTAAATTGAAACAGCAGTTCCAATCTTATTTAGAGAAACAAGACAGACACAATGATTTCCAAAGAAATGCTTCAAGGGTGACATGGCTTTAAGGTTTATAAATAAGATGATAAATCAAATTGAACTGAATTACTGAAGTGTAATATAATGTGTAGCACCCATTTTTTTCCTGAATTAGTTCTACAACTGTGTTCAGCTAGTGTGCTGCTGTAAGTCACTAAAGTGAGAGCTAAGGGTCATAGATGTGGTAGAAATAAGGCTCTAGGCACAATATCTAGCAACACACACACACACACACACACACGCTAGTTGACTTGGACACTCTTTCATCTGTGATTCACAGTATCCATGCATTCTTTTAGGTCCTTCTCACCCTAACCCTGCCTTGACTCTGTGATTCAATTTGTCCAGAGGTTTAGTGGCAAGTATCACCCAGGTACAAGGCTTATGGCTGCTATTACTCCCACCCAGTATGTTGATACTATGCACAAAGAAGAATGCTGCAAGAGATCCCCCAGACAGGAGTGCAGAAGAACAGCTTGGCACACATATCTGGGTGCTATGAAGAGGGGATCTGGGTACCCTTTCAGGCCTCTGCAGAACACAGGCACATCAGCAGCTTCAGAAGAACCACCCTCCAGTAAATTCAGAAAAAGACAGTGCCTTGAGTCACCTGGTTTTGGGGTCCTCCATTACATGGCAATGGGTACCTGACAATGCATAGTACTTGGTGAATTCACTGTTTCTCTTAATGACTGCCTGATCATGATTTCTCCAGGAAGATAGATGGGGGAAGGGAAAGGGGGGTAAAACTCAAGTGAGCCAGTTTAGTAACTTAATAAAGGAAGTCATGACTATTTCTAAAGAGTCTGGGGGTGTAGGTCACGTCCAACTGTACAGTTCAACAAGTGTTTACTGAACTGCCATCATTCAGAGTAACCTATGAGTCTATGCATAATTTCTAAGTTTCTGTTCCAGTTCTGACCTTATTAGTAAGCAAAATGAAACAGCTGTTTCCCTGTGGAGTCAGTGCCTTGCAGAATGTCAGGCCTAGCTTCAATAAAAGCAGCCATCATCCTCTTGGTACGGGCAATCATATTCTCAAAACCAAGAGAACTTCACCACACAGAGTAAGGGAAACACAAGACCCTCCCCCAATCAAGGGTCCCTCTACCCCTGATGGATAACCTGAGACTCCACTCTACCAGGCCACTATTCACTTTTTATTCACACAGCAATATAATTTGCTTATATCAAGTTCCAATCTCATCTTCTGATGGCATATAATGGATCAAAGAATAGTTCTCAAAAAGTTAAATACTGGCAATATATTCTGATATCCTCTTCTAAAGCTAAATCAAGTTGCCTAAGTAGCTATATCTAAAAATTAACCACCAACTACATAAAAGTCACACTCTATACTTTCTATTGAAGATTTGTTATGAAGAGTATATTTATTTTTATATACTTTATTTAAATTAGAAACAATCTTATCTTACATATCAATTCCAGTTCTCTCTCCCTCCCATCCTCCCCTGCGCCCCACAAACCCCTCCATCTTATCCCCCATCCACTCCTCAGGGAGGGTGAGGCCTTCTATGAGGGATCATCAAAATCTTTCAAGTCATTTGGGGCAGAGTCTAAGCCCTCATAAGTATATTTATATAATCTTGCTCAGTATATATTCTAAAGTATCTCACAAAAACATTTCATAGCCATATATTTAACATTAATAAACTCTTATCAAAAATAAGGACTGAGGGAGGAGCTCGGTGGTAGACACTTGTCTAGTATACATGTGGCCCTGGGTTCAACCTCCAGAAACAATGGGACTTGAAAGGGAGAAAGGGACAGAAGGAAGAAACAAAAGTGTCTTAGAACATATTTTTAAACAAACAATGTTACAAAAACAAAATGTAATGATAAAATAACAACTATTTAAATATAGTCAATAGTAATTAGGATTAACTAATCCAATAAAGCAGTCATAATGAAATTCACTGTGCTGTGCTTACATTGAAAACCAAAAGCTTTTCATACATTAGTGTATGCCATCCTCTAATTATTTCAAGGAAGTTTTCAATTAAATTTATTTTTATGTGTACCTTCATTGGCCGCCTGTATTTCCGGCAGGCTGTAACATGTGCGATGACACTGGCATGTGTCTCTTTGCTGACATTGATTCCATTTACTTTGATAATACACTGTCCTGGGTGAAGGCCTGCTGCTGCAGCCACAGTACCTTTAAATATAAATGGGGAGATTTGTCAAAATCAAATGTCAGCAAACGGATTCACCCATATCAGATAAAGAAAAATAGGAGCAATTTTAAACTTATCCAAGCTACTAAAATGTTCCTGATGAATCCAGTTTAGATAGCAACGCTCTCTCAATCTTTCTGTTCTTCACCCATGATCCAGAGTGCAATTAGCAAAATGTTCCACAGCCTCCACAAGGATTATTTTGAAGGAATATTGCATAGTGACCTTCATATTGCTAACCAGATGTTTCCCTTTCAATCTAACTTTCTAAATATAGAGTTTAAAAGTGAAAGATCAGAAGCATAAACTTTATTTACAAAATTCATTAATACTGACATAATATTACTTTTATTTTTCAAACACCAACAATTTAATGTGCATGTGAAAATAAATTCTTTTAAAATCCTACATTTTTGGAGGGCATGTTCACTTGGGTGTACACAAATGTGTGAGTATGAGTGCACCAGTACATGTGCTCGTATGTGCATGTACACGTGTGTGTGTGTGTCTGTGTGTGTGTGTGTGTGTGTGTGTGTGTGTGTGTGTGTGTGTGTGTGTTGTGTATGCATGGTCCAGAGGCAAACAATGAACATTTCTTAGGTCACCTTTGTTACCTTTCACTCTTTTTTTTTCAGGCTTCCCCACCCACCCTGGAGCTAACTTATTAGCTAGACTGGCTGTCTAGCAGGCCCCAGGAATCCTGTTTATGCATAGGTGTGCACTCTGCATTGTTATTTTTATGTGGGTGCTGGAGATTCAAGCTCAGGTCCAACAAATAGGGTAAGCTCTTCAACTGAAACATCTCTGTACTCCTAAAAAGCAATTCTTAAGGAAAAAAATTGAGTTAATTAGCAATTATGACTGATTGTTTGAAAATAAATGAGAGTTTGGGAACAAAAGAATATGTGAATAATGGAATTAAGCAGTTATCAACTGTCCAGTCACTTTACGTGGATAGATACATAAATCTGTACCTATGTAAATGAACCTATGTAAATATGTAGGTAGCATGTCCTAACTGGTGATTTAAAATTTCCCAACCATTGATATTAGTCACAGCAAATTAACACCAACAAATAATATTAATAAATTTCACATATTACATATATTAAACCAGTGTCTATAAAACTTACAATATATTAGAAGATAATTTCATTGCAAGCAATTAACACATAAAGGAATCATAAGCACATGTTTTAAACTTTTATACTTAAGAATACACCTTTAGTCTCTGTTCTGTCCCCTCTAAAGTTCAATCATAGCAATGGTTTTGCTGTACTGAATTGAGCCCTAGGCAAGGAGGGACATTTCTACTGGGAACAAGGCTCTAAATCAGAAAATCATCTGGCCATCTGGATATACAAGCAGTTCTATCTGTGTGCAAGCTTAGAGCTGGGGCGGGGGTTGAGTGTGAGCTTAGAATGGGGTAGGAGGTGCAGATGAGACAGACTGGGAAAGTCACTGAGGTACCTCCTTCTCCCAGGTACCCCAGCTGCCTGTGTGAAGACCCTGGAATCTAAACTTTATACATAGAGGATGCAAAGGGACATGTATTTAGATACTGAGTCTGCCAGTGATGTGAGAAAGAAGTGTATCTTGGAAACCAGGAGGCAAGTCTGAGAAGCAGAGAGAGCCGGCAGAGAAGGAACATGTGGAAAGATGGCTGGACACATACAAGGGCCCAGGAAGGCAAAGACCATCAGCCGGGAAGCACAGGCACTGTGACTCTGGAAAACTGTTGAGTTGATTTGTGTTGTGTTGTTTCATTTTAGTTTTATTTTGATTTCCCAAGCTATTCTGAATACAGAGGTGCATAGATTGATCCAAGACTGAACTCTAGTGGCCTGGAAGCAGCAATTATGGCAAGAAGGACTGCAGTGACCTTCTCTTGTGACACAATCTGTTAGACGATGAACCACCACTGGGGGGGGTTAGAATCTGAGAGGAAATACCCCAATCCCGCCTTTCCCATTTAAGAAACAAAAATCATGAACACAGAAGCCACCCACTCAAAAGATAGTGATGGTGGTCACAGTTACACAATTCAGGCTTACAGTGACTGTGCCCAAGCATGGGACAAACTTCTGTTACAGGTTAGTGAAAACAGAAGCCATGTGTGATATCATGGCATACTTCCATTCTACAGTATCAAAGGGCTATTGGAAAGGCTTTAAATGTTCATCGACATTGTGGAAATCTACGTGAAGAGATACTTTTTTGAAAGAAGGTTTACTTTTTAATCATGCATACATTGATTAATTTTGTAATATAAAATTAATTGGTTCTAACAGCAACACCCTTTCCACATCTTCTTGTGTCATGTTTGAGTGATCACACGGATGCATCTTTCATGTCTGCAGACAGCCACCTCCCCTTATCACATAAATGCAGGACTTCTCTGCTCACCAAGGCCCTTCTTGCTCCAGCAGCCAGGCTACTTATTATGTGCAGCACTAAGAACTCTCTACTCCCTTTACCAGCGTTAGATGAAACAAAAATACATATCACAAGAGCTTTTGGGTATTTTATGTACCTTTCAAAGCAGCAAAGTAAAATAAAAAGAGGCTTTTAGTCACTACAACTATTTTTTTACAATGAATTTCATGCTGTGATTTATTGAGGGTTCAAAGGAAAAAAATTGAAGAAAATATATAAACTTGGTGTCAAGCCCACAGGGCTCTCTGCAAAGTCTGAAAAACTCATATTTTTTAATTACTACCAAAACCCAAGCATTTATTTGCTGCTAAGGTAAGTATAAATAGATAACCTTAAAGTCACCATTAGTTTAAACTGAAGTATACAAAAAGTCATGACTGGAGTTTTCATTCTTCAATCAAACTTGTAACAGTAACAAGTATGCTTAAGAATTTTGGGGTCAGCTGGGCATTGGTGGCTCATGCCTTTAATCCCAGAACTCAGGAAGCAGAGGCAGGTGGATCTCTGTGAGTTCAAGGCCAGCCTGGTCTACAGAGCGAGGTCAAGGACAGCCTCCAAAACAATAGAGAAACCCTGTCTTGAAAAACCAAAAAAAAAAAAAATGGGGGTTACTATTTAATTGTTTATTTATTCGTGTGTGTGTGTGTGTGTGTATGTGTGTGTGTGTATGTGTGTGTGTGTGTGTGTGTGTGTGTGTGTGTGTACATTTGGAAGCCAGAGGTTGATATTAGGCGTCTTTCCTAGATCATTTCACCTTAAGTTTTTGAGCCAGGCCCCTCCCTGAACCTGGGATTTGCCATTTGGCTGTACTAGACAGCCAGCAAGCCCAGGGAATTCTCCAGTCTCTACCTCCCCAGGTAGACAAATGCTGGCCTTGCAAAGGTCTTTCTTGCATTTTGTTTTTAATGTAGGTATTAAAGATCTGAACTCACATGGTCATGTTTGTGGGGCAAGTACTTCACCTACTGAGCCATATCTGACTCTCTTTTGGCTTTTTCAGCAAGGTCTCACTTGAGCTCAAGCTTGCCTCACATTTGCAGCAATCCTTCTGCCCTGGCTCTTCTGAGCATGGGAAATATAGATGTGAGGGACTGCACACACAGTTTGAGGTTTTGAGATTTTACTCTTTAATGTATTCTTTCCAGAATGTACTTTCACTGAGTTACAAGAGAGGGAGGGGACAACCCCTAGCACTATGATGATGTATATTCTAAACACATTTCAGTTGGGCAGGGACCAGCCAAAGCACATGAGAGCACAGTTTCGCAAATCAGGGGGATGATGTCTCTCACCTCTTCCCACCGCGTGCACAACCGATGGGCCAAAACCTCTGATCTGGAAACCCAGCCCGTCAGCAGAATCTGGGATTTTCACTGTCCTGAACATAACCAGAAAATGAGGTGATACAACCATAAATGCCACAATAGGTTCTATCAACAGTCAACTACATCTGAGCTCCTTCTAGCAATGCATACATCCTGAGATCTCAGGCAAGGACATAGCCTTGGGAGAGACTAACCAACAGCACCCACCCCAAGATTGGAACATAAGAAAAAAACAGGTGGTAGTGGCCAGCTGAGACAACTCAGGGCCCTCAACAGGATGTAAATATAATGGTGGGGTAGACTCCAGATGTGCCAGCTCAGAGCCCCCAAAACAGGATACAGAGAACAATAGGTGGTTATTCCTACTCCAGCTATATCAGCTGAAACAACTGTAGAGACTTCCTTACCAGGGAGCATGAGCAGTGCTGTTAACCTTTCCCCTACTGGACTTTTCAACTTCCTGGGCATTAAGTCTCTTATGGATATTCTTGCATCTTATTCATCTACTTGTATAAGATAAAATTTTATGTGATAGGGACTTCTGAGGAAGCCCTCCTTTTCTAGAAATGTCCACTCATGGGGAGGAATGGGGTGGGGGAATAACAGGTAGAAGAAAAAGCTAAGAGCCCCCCATATTGCTCAGGCTCATCTTTGCTAGAATATATTATTGCTTCCCCCTGGTTCTAACTGGACCTGTCATTGCTTCATCTATTTCTGTTTCCAGCTGAATTCTTCCATTTCAGAGGTGTGACAAGGGAGACTGCTACTAAGGACAAGACCAAAGGAAACTGGAAAACTAGAGAGGATCTACCAGGAAAATGCCACTGAGTGAGAAGCACTTGGAGAACTTACTGGCCCTTGGCCAACACAAGGTGCATATAGCAGAGAGGCCACACAGCGTCCACACTGAACAAAGTCTTATATAGATGCATCCATGGAAAACAACAGGCAACGGGGACAGCTAAACTCTGAGTCCATATTCTGTACTTTGTAGCTGGGTAAACTTAGGTTTGGACAAGCTCCTTGAATTCTGTTGCAAAACATGTCACAGAAAGTATTGGAGGTTTTCACTACCATAACTGATTTTGTAGTATGCTGATGGGTATTAAAGAGATAATAATTTCTCTGCTAGCTAGTTTCTATTGCTGGAATTAAAACAAGACCAAAAGCAAGTTAGAGGGGCACTCATTTCAACTTACAGGTCACTGTCAATCACCAAGGGAAGCCATGGCAAAGGATGAGGCAGGAACTGAAGCAGAGACAACAGAGCAATCCCATTTATAGGCTTCCTTCTTGCTTCTGCTCACTAGCTTCCTTATGCAAGCCAGACCCACCCGCCAGGAATGGCACAACTCACAGGGGGCTGGGACATCCTCCACCAATTAGCAATCAAATTCTACATTTCATCACCTCCCAATAACCCAGAATATTAGATTATTCATAATTCCCTGCAGTCTCCCAAGCCTTTCTGAATAAGGCCTGCCCATTCAACTAAATCTATGTGAAGTTGACTTCCACTCTTCAAGACTATTGTACTTTTTTAAACAAAATTTGTACACAGCACCATGAAATCCATTTCAGGGGAAAAAAACAGAATTCCTCTAACTAAACATGATTAAATTTTAAAAAATGATCTTTGGAGATCATGTTTCCAGTGGGAAAACCACATCGCCTATTAAATTAATTAATAAAATTATACAAAAGGAATGTTCTAGTTCTGTTACAAAATAAATATATGAAATTAGCCACTGCAAAGCCTTTTGGAGAAATTCCTTGATGTTATCAAATGTAAAACACAGCTAGAATCAAAAGAAAATTCTGTTGTATTTACTTCTCATATTTTTGTCTTTTCCCCTCCAAACAGGATACTACTTAAATTACAAAATTCTAATTTAAGAAAATATGAGTAACACATACAAAGCTCCCATACAGTTCCTCCTGAGGCCTCATATTCTCCGGGTCTGATCCAAAGATGCCCCTCCCAGGTGGCCTTGGATGCCTGAGTTAGGGGAAAGTCACTGCTATTTAAGACAACCTGGATTGGAGAACACTGAGAAGTCCCCACATCTATGCCACCTCCCATTCCTCTATGCCACTAGTCACTTGCTCTGGTGAACATTGCAGGTGATCTGTCCATACCACGGTACAAGCAGCTGGAACTATTTTACTTGAAAAACTAGAAGTTACCTGTCCCATAAGAGGAGAAAACTCACTCAGGAGAAAACTCTGTGCTGTCACTCTTATACTTGAGTCAACTTATGTAGGAAAATATCAAGGGAATAGGAAACCGTTAAGTGCTTTTGCTATGGTTGAATGGGAAAAGTCCTCACCTTGACTGATGGTGGGCTTTAAGGAAGTGAGTGGATCCGGAGAGATCTGGCCTTATTGGTGGTGTGATGCCCTAATGAACTAATACTATTCTGTATTACTGGGAGGTGATGGAAAGTAGAAGACAAGGCCTGTGTGGAGGGTCAGACAGGTGTGTTGTTGGGTGCGACATCTTCTCCTGACTGTCTTTCCATTTCTCCCTTTCCAGTGTCAAGCATGAAGAGAAATTTCTTTGCACCCACCCCCACCTTCATGTTCTGACCTAGCACATGGAGCCAAGCAACTGTGAACTGAATCCTTTGAAACCATGAGCTGGAACAAACCTTTCCCACATTCAGATACTTATGTCAGCTATCTGTCATAGAGTGACAAGAAAAATGATGAGTTCAGCCTCATTGGGTAGGGACATGTTAGTGAACACATAATAAGTAGAACTATATAGGTACTTTGAATGTGTCAAAGTTAAAAAAAAGACTTCCAATTCTTTATATCCCATAAATTTAGAACCAAGGGAAAACTGGTAATCTCTGTGATTTAGATGCTCATTTTCAAATGGAAATGTTAACAATGGAAGTACCTTTGTGCTATCAACTATAATGAGATGACCATAACTGCTATTGCTTGTCAAGGCAAGCTGCAGCATCTCTAAGCATAGCCTGATCCTCACAGTGGAGATGAGTTTCTACCAATATTTAACAAGTAGACTGGGTGGGGATGCAGGACACAGGCCTCAGTGTGCAAAGTCCTCAAGCGGGGAGTCACGAGAGTCTTTATAACACATTTTCCTCAATGGAAACCAGTGTACCTATCTAAAGGACATATACATGCCAATTAATAAGTGCTGTGACTTACAAGATTTCCCACATCAAATGCCTCTCTAGCTTATTTATATTTTTTCAAATATATTAATGTACTATACTCCATAGTTTCTTCCTATTCTTACTGCACATAAATTCATGTGGTTGTTAATGCCATATTGTCTCTAAAATAGAAAAGATCATTTTTTCTTTAATATATGTGGGTGATCAGTCTACAGGGCTCAATATAGAAAGAATATTAGGGGAAAGTTATACATTTAAAGTACATTTAAAAACATAAATATGAAATCTTTTAAAAAATTATTCATTTATTTATTCTCTGTATTTGTGTGTCCCCGTGTGTGCATGTGTGTGTGTGCATGTGTGAGCCTGATGATCAATGACTACCTGGTAGTTAGTTTCCCTATTTTACTCATCCATGCATCACTGTGTCACTTACTCCCTTGGCTTTGTGCTCACGAGGACTCGCAGAGGCTTTTTGCTGTTTAAGCATGACTTCAGCAAGCAATCGACTTCAGAGAAAGGTCTCAGAAAAACCAGGTCACCATTAATAGCAAAAATCTTCTTCCCAACTTCCATGCCAGCCATCTAAGGGAGAAGTGGCAAGAAGAAGTGGGATGATAATTTAATAAATATTTTTGGTTTTCACAAACTGAACCAGGGGAAGTCTCAGCATGTACAGACAGACATACATATGAGAACAGATATACAATATCATATGCAAACTTGCATAATAGAACTATGAATGAAGTAACAGCTACAATAATCCATGGCATCATTATGAATGGGATTGACAACTTTGCTGAAATCAACCTTCCCCCACTCCCATGCACACTATACACTGGCTCTTTCTTAGTGTTGTAGTTACAGACCCTTTAATTTAACAGCAACAATAAAAACTTGTCCTATAACACATAAACTCCAAGTCAATTATTTATATATATGCTTTACATACAAATATATGTATTTATATATACATATTGTATGTAAATATTTTTATTGAACTGAGAAATTTTCAACCCATATATATATACATATATATATATGAAATTATTGACCACAGACAATATGTATCTCTAGCCAGCATCAGCATGAGTGTGCCTAGGACAGAGGAATGGAAGGTGTGGCCTGGAATCCAAGCAAGTGCCAACAGCAGAGTTGACCCTAATGCAATATGCTGAAAAATGACAAGGACATTACCCCTACAGCTAGCCCAGATGTTCTAAACCAACAAGACTGCACATAAATTCCCTGCTGTTTTGAACTGCAGCTACTTGATGAGACAATATTTTATCTATGGCACAGCAAGATGAAGCTGTGCCCTAAGAGCAGTCTCTAAAAAATGCCCGGGAGAAGCACCTTCTCCTATAGAACTATAAACAGGGTCATTTTGGTGGCCAAATACACTAATAGAGTAACTGGACTAGAGGTAATCTATTTACACTTGGAATGCTGGATAGAAAGCTTTATCTTGCACACTTTTGTTTGATGGTGTAATAAAAGACCTTTGGCATTAACATATACACAGTACTACTGATTTAGTAATAAGAAGATAAAACATATTATGTTCTATGTCTGCAGATCTTGAATTTGCATTAAAGACCCAAATCCTGAGGTATTTGTTTAGGGGTTATGTATCTTGCAAGTTAGGCAGTAAGGCAAACAGTCTTAAATCCAGTATCACTGTGTTTCAGCATTGGAAAGTAAAATGTCCACAAGAACAGAGAAGGAAGGAGGGAGGGAAGAGGGAAAGGAGGAAAAAAAAGAGAGAGGGAGGGAGGGAGTTCACATATGTGTACACACATATGCATGCATGTGGCAGCCAGAGGGCAACCCTGGTTGTTGCCTCTCAAGTGATATCCACCTTGTCCCTTTGTTTCTTGAGATAGGGTCTCTCATCGCCCTGGTATTCACCAAGCAGCCTAGGACAGCTGCCTGCGACCTCAGGAATTCACCTACCTCCACCTCCCAAGCATAGGATTACAAGTGCACACACCACATTTTTTTAAAATGTGGATTTTGGTTCTCAAGCTCAGGTTAGACTGTTAAAGACTAAACTATCATCCAAGCTCAGAACAGGGAAATGTGTCTACTTTCTACATGTCTAAACTCCCAGAATCTAGAATGCTACCTATTATATAACCACTATCAAGTGAGTAGTTCTCAGTGAAGGAGTCAATGATCACAAGATTCCACTGTTTACAAGCCCAGGGACGTGAAAGAGTGCTGATGAGCATTAATCGAATGAGAAAGCCCTTTTTTTTGCTTTACTGATAATAATTATACCCACAGAAAAGACAGAGGAGGAGGAAGATAGAAGAAACAGTCTTAGGCTAAACAGAATGACCATCTGATATGCATAGCACATTTGTCACACCCTGTGGGGCTCCCACAGAGCTCCAGGATGGATTCAACTACTGGGAAGTTTCTGGGATCACAGAACATGACACCTGGGGACTGGGCAATGAGAAGCTGTAGATCTCTAGAATACCACCACCCCACCCCCCAGCCCTCATCACCGAGACACAGTCTCAGCAGCTACAAATTGAACACCACTTGACACAAGTTGGACACGTGAGCATCAGCAATGATCATTCAGAGTCAAAGCCATCAATAAACGTGAAGGATGATTTCAGTTTGGAGAATATTACATGATAACAAACTGTTAACAAAAATGCTAATTTATGTTACCTCTGCATTAGATCCCTTTTCCACTAACTTTATTATTGGAACTTTATTTCTGTCCTCCAGCCCAAAGCCATAGCTGCCTTCATTGGATTTGATCTGAAATGTAAAATGCTAACATTATTGAAAATGAACAAGGAGAGCTTAACAATGAAATAGACAGAGAGTATCAGTATACTCGCCTGCCAATTGCTGTACCGGAAGGAAATAAGACCCAGTGGCTTACCAACAGTGACTTAGCGATGACATTCTCCACAACCTTCAAGTCATGTTTCATAAGCCTGTGTTTCATATTCGAGCCTTCCATTTCCTCATCGGCAAAAAAGCGGAAAAGTAAAGGCTCATCTTTGAATTCACTTTTTTCAAGGACTGTAGAAATGCAGAGATTGAAAGAATTTCAGTAAATTGGGGTCTCAGGCTCACTTTCCATACCAGCACACCCTAGGGAATTCCAGGCAACAATGAGCTCAGCTTTAGACTCCTAGGACAAGGTGACCTCACAGATATCCCTCAGGTTCCTTTGATAACTTATCATACCTTCCCTGTAAATTAGTTATCTACAAGATTTAGCATTTTAAAATAAGTACTATCTTTCCAATGTTGCATTTCTTAACTTTCCATTGTCCAAGTGGAAAATATAAATTTAAAGAGAGAAAATAACGCCTAAACCCAGGCAGTTTAAACCTAAAAACTTAGGGCATTTTCCACTTTCAGAAAACATCGTAAATATGTTTTAATGTCATGCATCTTCTCGGGAAACTTCAAATGGGTTGCACACAGTCTTTCTATGTGTGAGTAATTCCCAGTGAGAGGTCATAGTTGGTCCAACACTTCAAACTAGAAATATGTCTTCTTGGTAAAATTTGATTTTAGTTTCTATGACTTGCTAGCTTTTCTGTTTCAAAACAATATTCTCAAACAACCTTATTTCTGAAAAGGTCAATTTTTTGTCTTTTATATAAATGTTAATATTTTCCATTAGTACTAGGAATGTTGATCTATGTTGTGTTAGCCTTGTTTATACTACAAGTAGACACAGATAATAAGAATGCATATTTAATAAGACCTTGACAGCTGCCAAAATGCTTTAAAAAAGAAATCTGTGTTTCTCATTAGTACCTTGTCATTAGTACCTTGTAGTGTACTTGTTGGGACAAGGTGACTCACAGTAAGAGGAAGGCTGTGGTCCCAGGGCACTTAGCTTTGTGATGAATCAGTCCAGGTCTGGGGCCAATTCTGAGTGTGAAAATTAGAAGGCTACCTAAACTCTCTGCATTTTAGTTTTCTCATCTGCCAAATGAGGATGAAAGAAATCTTCATGCTGCCTACTCTGAAACGAAGCACTACATGTCAACAGTTTGCCATATCTCAAACAATCCAAAGAGGCAACCATTCTATTCCATTACTTTTGCAGGATTCTAGAAAACAATATGGAGCAGATGTATGCATGAGTGAACTCTGAATGGGAGAGCATCTGGTAACATGGTGACAAATGAAGCTATCTACCACACCATGAAAGCCAATATGAACCACAGTGAACAATAGAAAGGAAAAACACTGGACTGAGTTAAGTTTTGTCTCCATGATCTAATCATTTTTCCCAATGATCACATGATATTTCCTACAACAGCCTGTTCATAGTTGGCAACAGAAGCACCAAGAAATCCAGGCAGGAGACTTTTGTCACCTTAGCTTTTGCTATCACTTATTATTATCCAATAAATGCTTATATCAAATTACTGCCTACTGCTACTTTTGATTAAGAAGAAAAATAATTGAGGGGTGTCAGTCTGATTTTATAGTTTTAAGTGCTTAGAATATTATAATTTCTTCCATCAATAGTCTGCTCTCTGGGGACCAATATTTCTCTATCTTAATATTCACAGTGATCTAGACAAAAGTATATGGGACAGAATTCTTCAAGAAACGCATAATGAGAAAAGATGGTCCCAAAATGGCTGTACCTAGTACCCAATGCCCTTTTTCATACATGTATTGATAACTTTCTGAACATAGTTGATAAATGGATATGAATGTAATATCAAACATATATTGAGAAGCACATTGCATTAGTAATTGAAAAAAGACTGGGTGCCCAGATTTTGTAGAATGGCATAAGTAGAGGAATAAACTCTCTTTACTTTGATAGATGGAAAAATTAAAATAAAACATTAATGTTTAATGATTTGCTTGAAGCTATCATGCAAGAAAGAAACTTTAGTAGACTAAAAACTATTTCAACTATTTCTAAAGATGAAGTTCTGTAAGATGATTTTGGATATATTTTCCTAGATAAACAACAAATATTAACTATATATGCTGTTATCTAATAATTCCACTATATACTGTCATTCAGGCAAGATTATGAGTCTAATATAAAATGAATTCATATATATGAGATTTTTAAAAAGAAAATAAAACTTTGGCATCTCAGCATGGCTCTTCTGGAGTCAACACAATCAAGAAAAACAAGAGAGAAACTTGAAAAGCTAGTAGCCTTTGCCCTAGAAATGCCACCACTAGTGAAATCAGTTGCAGATGCGGTGACTCATGGGGACCATGACAAGACCCAGACAGGTTGCCTTGACCTTATGGAACACTGAGATACTTCCAATGTCCTAAGAAGACCCAAAACAATAAAATCCATCTCTGAGTTTACAAGGTAAGAGTCCCTACCATGATGCATAAATCCATTGTCGCAGAGCCCAACAGCAAATATCATTGCCTCTTCCCTTGTACGGCAATCACCCTGTTAACCAAAAAATAAGTCACTGTGAATGTTAACAGGAAACTGGAGGATCTAAGGACCTGATTTATAATTTAAAGAACATTTCCCACACATTACGTAATTTTCCCAAGTCGTTTTCATAGCACTTAAATACTCTATCAAATCGGCTCACATTTCTACTTCATTTCTATCATCAACATTCTAATTTGTTGTTTCTTTATCCCTTATCTAAATTAACATATTTTTTCTGGAGTCATTCTACCATAAGCTGTTCCAGAATTCAGCTGTGCTAGATATGAATGCCATGTTCTAGAGGTCTAAAGAGTCTTTTTAACAATCAAAACTTTAATAATCAAAACAAAAACATTCTGTTGGGCTTTCAAGATATTACAGTCTTGGTTTTATTCACCTACAGCTTTACTTTCCAAAGTTTTGAACATATCCTTTTTCCTTAGCTAGTCCAGGTTCCTACAATTGCTGAACTCAGGCAAGGGCATTCTCTCCTTTACTAGTGTAATGCCAGTATATACAATGTCTTTCACCTGTTTAACACCAAAATTAATGTTATCACTGGCTGTGACAACTGTAACACTATTATCCACCAAAGCAAACTACATATGTACCTGCAAATAGGCATTGTATCTTCAACAACCCAGGTGTTTGATTAGTTTAGTGGATTCGTTTGAAAATTCATATTTATTATTTCCTAAATATCACATCAAATTCAAGATATCACACGTTAAAACTCTCAAATTAAAAAACATTTTTCTGCCTTCTAATAATGTGGATCTTGTGACCAATTCGGTCCTAGTTAAATATCATCAAATAATTTAGTTATGGTTCTTTTTTTTTTAAGATTCATTTATTTATTGTGAGTACAGTGTTCTACCTGCATGTATCCCTGTAGGACACAAGAGGGCATCAGATCCCATTACAGATGGTTGCAAGCCATCATGTGGTTGTTGGGAATTGAACTCAAGACATTTGGAAGAGCAGCCAGTGTTCTTAACTGCTGAGCTATCTTTCCAAGCCGCTAGTTAAGAGTCTTAATTAGCCTGATCCTCTCAGATAACTTGGTGCACAGAAAAGACCCTGAGCCTAGCTGGAGGATCCATAAGGACTTCTATGGAAGATGATGCTGAGAATTTTACAGAAGATCTAAAAATAGCCCAACTGACCAACAACTTCTTGAAGGCAAGAACCATCCTGCACTTGTCCTGATGTTTTATTTCAGTAGCTAAAGTGTTACGTTTATACTGAAATCTTTGACTGTTTTATTTAAATATTATATTTCCCAGACTAATACATTGTTGAAAAGATGAGTGTATATATGCAATCTGAAAATACTGTAGTGATCCTATATCTTAAAAAAAAATCCTTTCAGGTCTACTCAGATGCTTCAGGAAAGCACTGAAGAAAGGTGCAAAAAAATTGTTTGGGTGAGATGAAACAAGAACTTCTTTAACTGAAAAATAAAAATGGTGGTCGGCACATGACACATAAACAAATCACATATTTTAGAAATACATTAATGCACTTATTCAGTAGGAAGTTAACTTGGAGGAATGAGGTATTTGTTTATAAGCCATTATGAAAGCATCAATCTGGTAAATATTCAGAAGAGAACATAAGTCATTGCATTTTCTAAGACTATATCAGCCATTACAGACATCTACAGCATCCAAGGATACCTCAAAACAACACAAGGACTGTTGCATTGCAACCACCTCTAATTGATACAATCGATTGTCCCAATCCAGTCAGCACTGATGAATATGCAGAATAAGTCTATTGGAGTCTTGGTGGGAAGGGAGCCTCAATTTGTTTCTTCTTCCCCCTACAGTAAGCATTTTAGTTTGTTCCCCTCTCATCCCATTGCTATGCCTTCCTCTCCCAAGGCAGCCCATGATGCTCTACTGTGAAGTTCACCAATAAAAACAGAGAATGTCTGTCGTAAACATGTGCATTTCACAATATCAGGCTGCAGTGACTGATGCAAGGTGACATGATGTCTATTCTAGGACAAGATAAGCAGTTGAGAACCCTATAGTCCAGAAATGGAGTAACATGTCCAAGTTTGCCTCACTCAATTTTAGCAAAACTGGCATCAGATAAACATTTCAGCTTGCTTAGGACTTTCTGAAACATATCCTATTTTTCCTTAATGTTTACCCTTAAAAATACAAATATTTCCCCCTGCAATTCTGGCAACCAACTTTCTGAGTTAGAATGTAAATGTTGATTTTGCATCAGGCTTTGTGTTAGATGCATTTTCCTTGGCCTTCTTCCCTATACTGGGTATTGTATAAATTCATATTAATTCTAGACCAGCAGAGTTCTAGGTGAATTCTCTTACTGAACAGAGAACCCACCCAGCTGCACACATGACCAGTGATATAAAAGTATTAGACAGAAGGTATCATACTGGAGAGCTACTAGACATGAGGTTCAGGTTATTACCAAAGTCATAATCTGATTCATCTAAGACATTTGCTTCTCAATGTAAAAATTTATGTTCAATGAAATACAAACCGGGTGGCCTTCAAAAGTTTAGAAATCAACACAAAACAATAAAAATATCAAACTGTATATATATGCAAAAACAGGGTTTAAATGTTGAATAAAAAGTAAAAATTTTAAGAATATCTAGTTTTGTTACCTGTCTCTAAAAGAAAAGGATATTTTATGCAAACAAAAGAATAAGGCTGCTTCTAAAACTAACTCAAATATTTTTGTGTAATGACTGCATTTCAACCAACCAAACCCCCTGCCCCTGGTAGCAAGTTAAGTTCAAGTGCATATCAACTTTTCTTAGTGTCTTGCCTCTGGTTAGTAGACTATATCCAAGCATTTGTTAGTTGACCCATAATGAAAAAAACTAAGTAAGTTTATATTTGAAAATTAACTGTGACATGAGTGTTAATCTCTTCTACTTATAAGCAAATCACACAATTTTTCTCAACACTGTCAGAGACAAGATCTTGCAAGGCTGAGCAATAGTAATGACAGTATGCTCTGTACTTGTAGACATTAAAGCTTCTATCATGTAAGCCCAGCTGGTATCTAACAGAGAAAATGATACGGGAGATTAGAATCACTTGAGAGGACTAATGAACAGATACTTCAAAACAAATTAGTAGGAAAAGCATGCAAAACAATATAATGTCTGAACATACCTATTCATTGATACTCAAATTATGCTTACTGGGTTTTGTTTGTTTGTTGATGAATGTATTTTAAAATAGGAGCATATTCTTTTGGAAAAGCAAGCTAGCATAAAGATTATTCAAGAACCCTGAAATCAGATTCAAATCCTAATTCAGCTTCATACTAGCTGAAGGAATGTAGGCCAGGGAGAATACAGTATGTCACCTGAAGGCAAGTATCAAATTCTTTGAAAGTTCCCAATTCACACACTCAAAGTGAGATGGAAAGAAGGAAGCATGGCAACATCTATTTGCCCACTCACCTGTGCAATCAACCAGTCTATCAATTTGTTGGCCATGACCACAGATTTGTAGGTCCTTAAATGGTAATCTTTATCTCTACAAAGGAAGAAGAAAGCAAGAACATTAATCAAGAGACTGTGTGGGTGCAGGCAAATCCTTCCATTCAGTATCAGTGTATACAGCAGGAAAATATACCAATCATCTTGCAATCGCCTAATGTATGTATAAATAAAAGAAGTTAACAAAGTATATGTGAGATGAAATCTATCAGCTCATAAAAGAGAAGACAGAACCATCAAAACACCAAAATAAGGCATTTCTTCTTTTACATTGTTTTTTCAAACAGGACTATTACTGCTATCATACTTGGTAGTGATTTAACTAGAAAACTGGCATCATTAATAGAATAATAAGAAAATAGAATTTCTACCCCCAAGTTATGGCTGCTAAATTTCAACTTCAAAGTATAGAGAATAGAGCACTTGCTTCTCTGGTGTGTACATTCTCCAAGAAGACAGGGAGATATGCACTATAGTTATTCATGGACTTTCTATAAAGCCTGCAAACCTGAAATAGATACAGGTAAAATCTACAACTGTTCAGTCTGTCTAAGCAAAACATGGAACAATGAAACCACTTCATCCATCCCTAGGGAATATGGGGACTGACTGGCTCTCATATCAGACTCTCCTCTGTTCAGTAGACTTTCCAGACTGAGAAATCATTTAAAGCTGAAAAGCAAGCCAGCATAAAGGTTATTCAAGAACCCAGGAACCAGATTCAAATCCTAGCTTGGCTTTACACTTGTTGTATGTAGGCCAGGGAGATCACAGTATGTCACTTAAAGGCAAGTATTAAGTTCTGTGAAAAACCTAAGGGGTCTCATGACTGGTCTTGTGCACAAGGGCAGAAATCTATAATTCATTTCATTTTCTAGGCCCAGATGAAAAGAGGGTGGAAAATTGCAGTCTTTGCAAAATGAAAGCTGCCAAAAGCTTGAAATGACTAATAAGCACAGCCTGCATTTACTGTCCTTTTATCCTTGTTCAGTAATTCACGATGATATCCATATTATTGTGTCCCTTTGCATAAGAAGCTCTCTGAAATGTGATTGAAATTTCTGGGATTTCAGTATGTAAACTAGGTTCCTCAGAAATCAAGTTCACTTTCCTGCATTTTGAGTCTACTTCCATCTTCCTAATGTCTATCACTTTTCACTTTGATTTCCATAACCACCAACAGTAAAGAAAGGGCTACTCCACCATGGACCAGATGTAGTTATCCGGTTCTTAACAGCAAGTGATTTTTCTGTATAAATCAATTTTGTATGTATTGATGAATAATTATCAGACAGTACATCTGTTTTATATTTTAATTCCATACAGTTTCTCATACAGCAAATAAATAATGGTCATTTCTAGTCAAAGAAAAATTCTTTCTTATCAATTCCTAAGAACTGTAACTTTCTTGATATAAAACCTCACAGAAAAAAATGTATTTTTCTGAACATATTTTCATGCGCATAATAATTATATATATGCAGATGATATGGAGAGTTAGCTATTATTCTTTTCTATTTGTTTAGCAGAAAAAATGCATACAATTGGTAAGTATTTAATATAAATTTGTCTGAAACATTTGGAAGGGATCTATAGCAGGAGCAGTATGTTATACAGTCCACACTCACTTTCCCAACTTTACATTGTGAAGTCTGCTGCAAAATTAGACAACATTTATTCAGATAAGAGGACACCCAGTTCTCCTTAAGGACCTGCTCACAATGCTTACATGGTATAACAGGGCATCCCATCATACCAACATGGCAACTCCTGGAAACAATCTATATCCATTATTCATCTATCTGAAATTTATCTATCACCCATCTATCATCTATCATTCATCTATATATCCATAATCCATCTATCTCTCATGTATCTACTATCTATCTATCATTTATCATGCATCTATCTATCTATAATCTGTCTATCCATGTACGACCTTATAATTGATGTTAAGTATGTAAAATGAAGCACTGTATGCAAATATTTGCATTCTATATCCATTATTGGAAAAATATATGTATTTGTATAAAACTGGACCATGTATTTGTTTTGAAAATGAGTTAGCTAATAAACTACAAAATTATGCTTAGTACATCTAAAATAATTCTTAATTTCCAAACAAAAATATTGTCTTGGAAGGAAAAGTCTATCAAAAGGAAATATAAAATATACATACAATGTTCAGTCATTCATATATATATATATATATATATATATATATATATATATATTATAACATATAAATCTTCCTAGCTGTGAACATTTAGAATAAATAGCATTTCTGATTCATTTATAGGACATTTAACTATCATTAATCAAACATTAATAGAATATGGATTATTTCAGTTTCAGCTGAAGATCATGGTATAGAATTATAGTAAAATAAGCTTTGAAAGCATAACAAATAGAAAATACACTACATATATAGTACCAGAAAAATTTAGGAATATTTGAGATAAATAATTACTTAAAATGAAATAATCCAAGTTCTAAGATTAAATGTAACTGTTCCATTTATGACCATTATAAGGGGCAGACTCACCTGACCACTGGAGTAAACAGGCTATGAAGTCGACAATACAGTCTTACACCCTGTGTGAGACAAATGCAGGTGAGAAGAGGGTAGGATCATTCAAGAAACATACTGTGGAATGTTCAGAATAACCTATCAATTCTTTTTCATTTTCCTGGAGTCATTGCACAATCTCAGCAAAATTCAAAGTCCCTCCAAATATTGAAATGCATGATAAGAATAGGAGTTAAGTCTCTGAAGAACAGGATGGAATTGTACTGTGAACTTGTCATACATGTATGACATATATGAAGGTTTACCTAAAATATTTCTTCATATAAATGGTAAGAAACACTTTAAACACAAAGTGTACACAGCAATAAATCTAAAATGTGGGATCATTTTATTTCAATATAAAAATTTGTCAAAGTTACAATGAAAACTGGTATTAAGTTAGTCTTTATGTTTGTGTTTTTAAAATGTATACAAATGTCTTGGCCAGAGGTTGTCCTACATGAAAGTCAATGACTGGTACCTTCTGAGTAAGGTTCTACTTGCATTCAGAAGGAGAGAAGAAAACAAATGGAAGACAACTGGGATTTCAGAAATTTGGATAAGATAAAGACAACTAGAGTGGTAACTTCAGAGTTTTCTCTTTTGAAGACTTTATCATGGATTTCAATAGCTTTTCTTGCTCCCTAAGTACAGCAACATGAGTCCTTCAGTGGATAAGACTGAAGGCAACCTTACCTTCGAAATCACATCCTGCATCTCACTTCTCGGGTAAAATGTGCCATCATCATAGCGGAATCGGTACAGTGTCTGCTCTGGCTTGAACTGATGCTTGTCGGTAACTAAGAACATGGAAATGTTATAGCAGAATTGTAGTAAGTTAAATAATTAAGCAAAAACAAATTTACTGAATACATGATCACAATTTATAGAGCTTCTGATTTCCCGACCAAGTATTGTCGATCCAATATTTTCAACAGTAAAATCAGTAAGATTTTGTTCTTTACTACATTGAAACTTTCCACATAATCACCCAAAGACACAGCTGGGGCTGATAATAGTCAGGCCAGTCTTGTAGTGCATGCCTATAATCCTACAACCAGGGAAGCTGAGGCAGGAAGATTGCTGAGTCCAAGGCCAGCCTAACCTATCTAATGAGTTTGAAGCCAGCTTGGGCTACAAAGTCAGCATGGCCTACAGAGCAAGATGTTGCCTCACAAAATAAAATAAAATAAACTCCAATTTAAAAATTGTAAAGAGTAGATACTTAGATAATAACCAAGTTGTTTTTATCTTCCCTCAAACCCTAGAAGAGAATATTTGCTTGTATCTATTTTATCAGCTGGTGATTGGGCCAAGACCACACTAACACCAATCCAAGACATGTTTCTTGTATTGGACCTCCAGAGATGACTGAATACCATCAAAATGTAACAGATTCCAAAATTTTAAGAGTTCTTACACTGATAAGCACTTATTTTTTAAAATGTCACTTGTTTTCTTTTTCTTTTTCTTCTTCTTTCTCAAGGGAAAATAAAAATGACCAGCCTTCCCTGTCATTGACAGGGTAAATTTTCATTTCTCAAAACTCTTACCGGGAATGATAGTTTCTTTAATTAACATTAACAAATGCCTAAAGAATTAATGCAAGTCCTTCTCAATCTCTTCAAAAAAAAGAAAAGTAAAAAGAAATGAAAAGAAGCAAAAAAAAAAAATGAAAAGAAAGGAATAGTTCCAAACTTAGTTCATGAAGCCAGATAAGGATACCAGAATGAAATAAAAATCACAGTTTAATATCACTAATAAACAGAGCTGCAAAAATCCTCAACAAAATGCTACAAAGGGAACAAGGATTCCTGGGAAGAGCTGTGCTTCAGAGGCTGACTGATTCAGTGATGTGGAAAGGTTGGAATGTTGCAGGTCCAGAGCCAAATTACAAGTTATCTTGAACTATTTCCGAGCCCTGAAGAGCCACTTCTTGCCGGCCTTTGCATGGGACCAAACATCCTTTGACTAACTGATAAAATTCCTCTTGGAATGTGCAAACAGACTCCTAGTCACACTAATCAAAGGGCTAAAAGTGGCATCAAATAGCATAAACACTATAGCTTGGCCATAACTCACCTACCCAATGTAAGGTACCAAGGTTTTCATTACACTGTTACCTCATCATAGCATAGTATTTGGAAAGACTATTCCAGTCTACATTTACTCATATTTGGCTCCAGAATAAACTCTTTTACCCTTTGAGGTGACAGCTGTAGGAGTTATTTTTCCCCTTTTGTATCGACAGAAATAAATTCTCTATATAGAACTATTTAAACTTTCTACTCTCCTTATTTGTTACAAGAAACACTGTTTTCCACTGCAGCTCCTGGCCTTGTGCCTCAGCTTTCAGCTGCCCAAGCACAAACTCATTGCATTTAGTTGTATTTCTATTCATCATAGGACTGCATGTCCTGATCAGAGGAACTAGACAGGAAAATAAAAAGAAGATACACAAATTTGAAAGAAAAAAATTTGCCTCTCTGTCTTCTATGTCCAAAGTCTTTTAAAAAACGAACAACTTATTTAAGTAAAGGTACAAATCAACACACAAGAACACAAAACCAGAAGACAAAAGCCAACAGCATTTCTGGATGCTGAAAATGAACTATCCAAAAGGACCTTAATAAAATTCATAATAGCATTAAAAATTATAAGACTGGGGAAGGAGTTTGATCAAGGAGATAAATGTTCTGTATACTAACACTACAAAATATTGGTGAAAAAATTTTAAGAAGACACAAATAAATGGAAATTTATTATGTTTTCATGAACTGGAAGGATTAATATTATTTAAATGTTCATTATACCCAAAGCAATATACAGATCAAATACAATACTTATCAAAATTCCACTGACATGTTTTATAGGAACGGAAAAAGCAAAACAAACAAGAGTAAATAAACAGTAAGATGTCTATGAAACAAAAAGACCCTATCTAGTTAAGGCAAATTTACACAAAAGAACAACACTGGAAATATAAACTATATATGACTTCAAAACAAACTACAAGAGCTATAGTAATCAAAGAATTGTGGTACTAGCACAGAAACAGATATAACAGACCAATGGAACATAGTAAAGAACCCCAAAATAATCCAATATATTTATAGTTGATTAATATTTGTTAAGGCTACCAGGAATGTACTATAGGAAAATAGTCTCTCCAATAAATGGTACTGGGGAAATTGGACACACACATGCCTAAGAATAAAAAAGTAACGGCATCTCACACCACATAATAATCAACTCAAAATGAATTTAAAGCTTAAACATAGCCGGGCGTTGGTGGCACACGCCTTTAATCCCAGCACTCAGGAGGCAGAGACAGGCAGATCACTGTGAGTTCGAGACCAGCCTGGTCTACCGAGTGAGTTCCAGGACAGGCTCCAAAACAATACAGAGAAACCCTGTCTCGAAAAAACAAAATAAATAAATAAATAAATAAAACTTAAACATAAGACCTGAAGCTGCAAGACCACTAGAAGAAATAAATGGAGAAAAACTTCTTGAAACTGTTCTGGCAATGAAATTTTTAGATGAGATCCTCAAACTTGACTATTTGAAGCATTCTTGCATTTCAGACTTGAAAATAATTTTAATAAAAATGCATTTAGTATTTTCACTTCAAGAGCCTACTACTGGGCCAGGAAAAATGGTTCAGTGAATAAAGATACTAACTGGCAAGGCCAAAACCTTGAGTTGAATCCCTGGAACTCACCAGGTAGAAGGAGAGAGCACTAAATGCCAAAATTTATCATCAAGCCTACAAATGTGTGTCAAGGCATGCAGATACACAAAAGTAACTAAATATGAAACCCTCTTAAAAGAGACCCTGTTGCTGACTGAAGCGGTATCTACAGTCAGGGAATGAACAGGACTGGCACCTTCCCATTCTTTGTTTGTTTTCATTTTATCTAATGTGCCAATTTTTAAAAATTTTTCTTGTTTGACAACTTCAAATAGGCATATATTTAGATCAAACTGATCTATTTCCCCCCCTTGTTTTCACCCCACTTCCTCTCCAAACTCCATGTGCTCCCTTGTTACTGTTGTTATATCATAACCCAACAAGTTCACTTAGTCTCACCTGATGTTCAAAGATACAGATTCATCTACTGGAGCATTTGTATGCCTTTCAGAGCTCAAATGCCTGAGAAAAACTTACTCTCCCTCCACAAGCAGCCAGTGGTTATCAATGGCTTCTTAGCAAGTGCTGGGACTTCAGGAGTTGATGGGGAAAGTCATTCTGTATATATAGCAATAAAGCACTGATGGCCAATAGGGAAGAAAGATAGGTGGGACTTGGAGTCTAGGAGGATTCTGGGAAATGTAGTAAAGAGAGTCATTGCCATATGATCTCCTGGGAGCAACGGGTGCTCAGGAGTGCATCCTCAAAAAGACAAGTTCTTATAAAATATATATTAGTAATTATGGGTTAATAATCAAGTCAGAGTTAGCCAATAAGAAACCAAGCAAACTGCCAACAGCTTCATAATTAATATAGTGTCCTGTGTGTTCATTTAGGTTGGCACAGCTCTGGAACCTAGGCAGGATCTCACAACAAGAAGCCACTCTCCCATCCATTCTGAGATTTGGGCTCCTGGAGAATAAACATACTCAGCAACCTCATCCGGCTGTGAATAATGTGAGTTTTATGAATGATCGGCCTGGGAGGACAGGACCTTTGGTACAATAGTGGCATGAACACTATGGAAGGAAATTATTTTTGTTTTTTTGGTAACACACTATCTCTGGAAGTACAAGTCTAAATGGGAAAGGAAAAGCCATTTCCAAAAGTTAACTGACTGACCACAATTTAATGCCACCTACTTAAGTTCAAGGGAACACAAAGAAATGATTAATGTTGTAGGAGATAAGAATTCTAATTACCCTGATTTGGTCATTACATATTATCAACATGACTCAAAGTGTCACACAATTCCCCATAAATACATACTATTACTGTGTGTTGATTAAACTGTTTTATAAATTAAGCATAACAATGGAATACATATTCTTATTCCCAAATGCATACTTGAGATTAGGTTAGGGGATATGAAAGACTGAAACCGTCTATATCAACATCTCATTTCTACTTAAAGTTGTTATATGGTTTAAATATGGATTGTTCCCTCATAGACTCATTATTTGAATTCTTAATTCCCAGAGGGTTGCACTAATTTTTGAAGGTTCTAGAAACTGGTGGTGTAAGGTAGAGTTCCAGGAAGCAGGTTATTGGAGGTGGATATTTGAGGGTTTATTATCCATGACTATGCCCACTCTGCCTGGATCCCTGCTTCCTGAATGGCCATGAGACAAACAGCTCTCCTCTTCCTCATGTTCCTATAACCATAATGTTCTACTCAGATGCATAGGGCCAAATGACCATATGACCATAGTAAAATCTTGCTTTACATTGCTTATGATAGTTGTTTTGGTCATAGCAAAAAGTAACTATTACAGCAGTTACCTTTACTTTCTATCACAGCAAATGGGAATGCATGTATATGATGCTTTAGATATATATTTATATTGACTCGAGTATAAAATGATATACAGTATGAACGTATCAGCCATTTGCGTTAACTCTCTTATTCAATTATCATATGATTACTGAGTACCTAAACATTATATATATATATATATATATATATATATATATATATATATATGTCAATCAAAGGCTCCTGGCTCCTGTGCTATTGTTGTACTTATTTTGAGTAGACACCAGGATAGGTAAGGGAGACAAAGATATAATTAATAACCAAAGAAACAAAATAGCATTGTAATGCCAGACAGTGATAAGTGCATGGAAATGGCTCAGTTGACAAAAATACTTTTTGCACAAGCATGATGACCTACAGATTGAACCAACTCCAGAAAGTTATCCTCTGGCCAGCACACAACACACATGTGCATGCATGCATGCATGCATGCATGCATGCATACTAATTATAAATTAACAACTCAGGAAAATTTCAAATTCCAAATGTAATATATTAAAGTGGTAAACTGGATGGAAGGGCTTCTAAAAGTCACAGGGCCATAGACAAGATAAAACATGAATGAAGGAAATTGTGTTTTCCTCATTTTCCACAGTACTGTGTTTTTCGCACTTAGAAATGCACCCCCTGCTTTTATGAGAAACTTACAAGAAACTGTTAAATGAGACAAGTAAGAGTAAAGTTCCTAAATAAGTGTTACCTTTGAGTATATAAAGATGTAGAAGGCTAGAGTGGGCACAGTGTAGTTGGTCAGGTTTGCTAGCTGCCTGCTTAGAGTATTGCAGGCCTGTCTGAGAGAGTTAAACCATAGAAAGAAATCTGGACTTGGGTTGATGAGAAGCCAGGAAAATCAATGAAAACTGATGTGCACCTTCATCTTACATCTGTTATAAAGGAATCTTAAGCAAAAGTGGAAACATGGGAAGAAAGGATGGAGTTGAGGAGGTGAGGTTCTGGGAAGGAAAGAACTGTTTACTTAGTGTGATGATGCCCAACCTGCTACAGGTGGCACCAATCACAGAGGTAACACCCAGAGTGTTGGAGAAAATTCTCCAGAGTTTGCTTTGTTTGTGGGCCACTGTGTATTAGGGAAGACATGACAGTAAAAATTCCATAGTCAAACAGCCCCAGTTTAAAACTGCTTCTTGTCTTTTTCTCCCCAGTCCTGCTTTTCACATTAGAGATTCTTCCAGTTTTGTCCTTAGTCTCAACACCACTCTCCCCTTGTTTTGGGTGTTGTAAGCTCAACTGACCTCTTCCTATGTGCCCTGCTGTAGTCTCACGCCTACTCCATGCCTTGCTCTTCACCATCCAAGGCTCTCCTGAATTAACTGCCTTGATCATGCAGAGCAGAAACTCAGCAGAGTCCAGTCTCTCCATCTATCACATACAAACACTGATTACAGAAGCTCTTTCAGCTCCTCCAGCCTCTCAGGCAGGCCAACTCTCTTCATATCTATAGACCCAGTTCAAAGGAGCCTTGTTCTGTTACCCCTGGGTCAAGCTCAGCCTTCTGGCATGCAGCCTTTAACCTTCACAGTGTAGACGCTACAGTGCTGCAGTCAAGATCTGACCATGACTTCATGTGGAGATATGCATCAGCTCATAACCTTCAGTACATGCCAGAGGGTCAGCCTCCTGATATTAAGTGTCTTTCCACCACAAGCCCCTCTCTGGACACTGATTCATGGAGCTCACAGTGTGGCCACATGAGAACGTCTGTAGTTCCATGAAAGTTTTTCCCATTCTAAGTGCTATCATTTCCTCAGAAGGGATGTCCCTCCTGTTAAGTTCTATTCATTTGCAATGGCCATCACTAATAAAGCAGTCTCACACACTCTAGTCAGAATTAGGCATCTCTCCTTCTACAATCTGGTACTTATTAGTATTTTGGCTCTAGACTGTGCAGTGGCTGTTCATTCTAAAGAATGGCAACTGTATACCCTTAAACACATGATACACTATTCTTTTCATATTGAAAGCACTAAAAGAAATAGCCATGCTAAGACATGGAAAATTGTACATGAAATACATGTGGCACTCAAACACAGGCCATTTGTGAACACACAAAGAAAGTAAACTAATGAAATAATCACCATGGTGAATGATCCCATTCTCTAACAACGCTTGTCCCAGGTGAACGCCTTCTTCAGGCCTGTGAATCTCCCCAATTTCCAGCAGCCATGAAACAAATTCACTGCAAGAGAAAAACAATGGAAATGATAAAGTCCATGTCTTCCCAGGGAGTCTGTCTGGTCCACATATTGTGAAGCATCTATGAAAGGAATCTTAAATATATAAAGCACCATTTTCAAGACATCCAACAGATTTTTTCCCACAGGCACAAACCTCAACCACAGAAACCACAATCTATCCCAGAAACCCTAAGTGCTGAGGCTCTCTGACACCACACTCACTAAATAGCTATACGTGGAGATGACCCTCTTTCCCAAAGATATCATTTAAATATAGATTTAACTAAAAGATGATGCACCCTAAAGGCAAATAATCATGGGTATCACGGAGATAAATATACAATAAATGCATTTTGCAAATAAAATGTTCTCGCTCGTGTTTATATCTAAAAACACCAACTCTTGAACATTTAAATACACTAATGAATGTGTTTCAGAATCATTTTTGTTATTTTCACTCAGGACAGAGAACTGAAGTTATGGCCAACTCCAAACACATGATTTTCCATTGATCCCACAAATAACAAATACATTATATTAAATAATCAAGGAACACAAAGTTCTCCAAGTAGGTGTTTACTTCAATACATATTGAGGTAGGAAAGTGGATAAGGAACTTTCTATTATTTCATTAAGTAATAATCATATAAAAGAAAGACAAAGCATAAGAGAAAGAATAAAAGAAACAAAATAATTTAAGACAATAAAAGAGAAAAAGGTTTAAGAAGGTAAAACAGCATTTACATGGGCCCTGCAATGCACCCATCTAGATTCAAACCCTGTTTCTTTGCCCACTGGCTATGTGATCTCTCTTTCAAGCTGGACGCTTTTATCAATAACACAGGGGTAATACCAGAAACTTCAGTGTCATCACACTGTTACAGGATTGCTTGGAATGAGGTACATCAGCACAGAGCCTGATACATAATGGGCTCTTACAAGGTCAGTGGGTTGAACTGGTTAATATGAAGCCAAAGCATGGTTCTTTATTCTGATTTCCCCTACTTCATTAAATGCCAAACTTAGATGATAAAAAGAACTGATGTAAGCACTGATGTGATGTAAAATGCTGGGTTTTTTTTAACATGGGAGAGAAGTCAGAAAGGAAATTCACAAGAGGTTTTATCAGTGACAAAAAGATCACCTATGGCTATGTTGCATGTCAATAAAAGCTGCTGAGAAGCCAGAACTTACAGCAACTCTCTTACAAGTAGACATATCATCATGGGGACCCTAAAGTTATACCTATCACAAGATAGGCCATCCTTTTAATACATTGATGGGGGAAGTCCTGTACATTTGTTAATAAAGCACTGTTGGCCAATAGGAATCTAGATGGGTGGGACTAAGAGTCCAGGAGGATTCTGGGAAGGAGAAACACAAGAGAGTTCGAGATGTAACCGCCATGGGGTAGGACGCCCGGAACTATTCTCCGGTAAGAGAAATACTTAGATTAACAATTATGGGGTAATTACTTAAGTCAGAGCTAGCCAGTAAGAAACAAGCAAGGCCAACAGCTTCATAATTAATATAGCCTCCTGTGTGTTTATTTGGGGACTACAACACGGCAGAGCCCAGGCGGCTGGCGGGTGGATAAACCAAAGCGGCTAGCAAGGAAAGCTTCTCTTAACAGAATGGTGTCAGGAGTGGGATTGAATTTCCACGCAAAACAACAAAAGCTTTAAAGGAATTTTAGAAACAGAAGAACAGAGAGAAGCACAGATTTTGGTAGCAGCATTTTTCTCAGGTGTGCTCTGTTTTGCTAGCAACAAGCCGAGATTCACGTGGCTCACTTACAGGAGTCTTCCTGACTGGGCATAAAAAAAAAAATCAGCCAGCAAGGTTGTTTTAAGAGACTCTGCTAATGATTAAAAGGGGGTGTACGTACAGCTGGAAGTGACAGCTTTTGCTGGATGTCAACATGGACTGAGGCGGTAAGCTGAAATCACGCTTATGCCCGCCATCTTGAAAATGGCAGTTTAAAACAGCCGCGGTTTTACAGATAAGACACGTGGCCAGAAAAACATAAAGATTTACTGTAAAGTCAGACTTGGATAAAGGAAAGCCTCTAAAGGTTTACAGTCTGTTTAAAAATATACATGAGATTGAGAGAAAAAATAAAACAACAAAGTGGTAAATAAATAAAAAAGCCAGCATTGTAGTGGCACACGCCGGTAGGATTACTCCAGAGGCAGAGGCAGGCGGATTTCCAAAGAGAAACCCTGTCTCAAAGAAAAATAAATAAAAGTAAAAGAAATAAAGATAAATAAATAAGCCACGTAAAGATGGAAAATACACAGAGAGTCTGGATACTGTATGCTATTGTGTTTTTCAGTTTTTTGCTTGCTCAGGAAGGAACTGCTACTAAAGTACACTTGATTATAAATGCTGCTAAATTAATCCAACTTCTATCTTTTGAAAATGCCTTGACTTCAAAATTTAAGTATAAGGATATGTTACTTGGAAAAGGAGATTTTGCTTATGTTTCTCAGGAAATGAAAAGCTGAGGATTCCTTCCAGGCTTCTGTGGTTTGAGGAACCAAGACCCCCAGAAGCAGTGGACCAGGTGTTCCAACTATTGAGACAGCTAAGATGATGCAGCTTTACAGACCCCGAAAATACGGACTTATACAGGTTTCTGAGTTTTGTCATGATCCCCATGGTATGAACAGCGCCCCCTTCCAGCAGGAAGCAGTTTGGAATGAGCGACGTCCTAATTCCCATCTTGTTTATAAATCTTTGTTTTCATTTAAATGGGGTTGTTTATAATTGGCTAATGATCACAGCCGATCTTTTTTAATGGTAAAAAAGGGAATTATGGTATGGGTATTGTTTTTCATTTATTGATACAAATTCAAGGTCAATTTTGTGATATGTATATTTCTCCTCTTGATTAAGTATTGTGCTTATACTGATCTTTTAAAATGTAATGCGTAATTAAATACAGATTATAGATAGTTGCTTATAATAGTCAGAATTTATAGTTAGGTAAGTTAGGTTTTCTAGATATACGAAAATATATTTGAGATAGATAAACAGTCTTCAAACCTCTCAAAGACCTTCAGAAAATGGCATTTAAAATGGTTTAGGGTTTTTCTGGACAATGAGAAATGTCTGTTCCTGGCAGCACCAATTACGTCTGAGAGGAAGATGGGCATCGAAGAAACTCGTTATGGAGTTTGCTTTCAACATGGCAAGATTAGCCATTTGGGCAAGAAACTGCTCTTGCCTAGACTGACTGTTGCTGTATAAACTGGACATGCAGGACCCACAGAAAAGTGACTGCTAAACTCAGTCTTACAGGGTTCCTGCTTCAAGGAAGTGTCTACCAGACTTTCTACAGGACAGAGAAATGACTGACAGACTGCCAATGCAGATGGACAGTTTGAAATTTCCTGCTTTGCTGAGAAATCTTCTGGACACATTGTGGCCTACGGGCTGAAGATGAATGCCCCAACGTTACAGAGGAACTTCGGGTGACTGTCCAGGCAGTAAGATGTCTCTGTCAATCCTAGTGTTTATATATTATCCTTCTGTGGTCTTTGATGGAGTTGAAGATAGATAGTTATAATTATAGTTTTCCTTAGTTATGATAAAAGATACATATAGAACTTTGGACTCACAAGGATGGGATGGATATTTTCTTTAAATCTTGCTAAAATATTGTAACTATGTTCTTATTTGATAACTGTTCTGTTATATATAATTTGACTATGTTAAAGTTAAGACCTTTCTTTTTGTTTAAACAGAAAAGAGGAGATGATGGGGGAAGTCCTGTACACTTGTTAATAAAGCACTGTTGGCCAATAGGAATCTAGATGGGTGGGACTAGGAGTCCAGGAGGATTCTGGGAAGGAGAAACACAAGAGAGTTCAAGATGTAACTGCCATGGGGTAGGACGCCCGGAACTATTCTCCGGTAAGAGAAATACTTAGATTAACAATTATGGGGTAATTACTTAAGTAAGAAACAAGCAAGGCCAACAGCTTTATAATTAATATAGCCTCCTGTGTGTTTATTTGGGGACTACAACATGGCAGAGTCCAGGCGGCTGGCAGGGGATAAACCAAAGCGGCTAGCAAGGAGAGCTTCTCTTAACAATACATGATGGGTCCTCTATGTCAGATCTGCTTTCCTTCATACTAGCTGTCACCTGAAGTGTATTGACAGGGTGTATAACCTTCAGGCAACTGTGATCCACCCCCAGCCACCCATGAGGACACTCCCTCTTAATAAGAGAGCCAATTCTGGCCTTCATTGTTGTGGGATAATTGTAAATGAAGATGTATTGCTGTGATTAGTGTAATAAAAAGATGAACAGCCAATATCTAGGCAGAAGGTTTAGGAACTCTGAGAAGAAGAAAGGTGGAGTTGCCAGCAAGACACAGAGAGGAAACAAGAGATGCAAGATGAGAGACAGGTAACACCAGGTGGCAGAAAGTAGATGAATATAAATGGGCTAATTTAAGTTATGAGCTAGTTGAGACAAGTCTAAGCTAAAGGCCAAGCTTTCATAATTAACAATAATTTTCCATGTCATTATTTGAGGGCTGGTGATTCAAAGAGAGTCCAACAAGAAAGCTTACTATACTTCACTCTGAAGTTTCCTTGTCTACAGTTTAGATGTAGTCATATGCTGTCTCCTGATAGCTAGTTAAAGGATATCCTGGTAGGCACAGATCCATCAACTCCATGGATCAAAGGGAAATAGAAACCTAACTGTCCCAAACCATTATACTAACCAATGGAAGTGTCAGGAGTTGAACAAAGATGCTTGACTACAGTCTGATCTTCAACATAACTCCAGGGAACTCTTAGAGACAGACTTTCAGGATTCTCTGACTATATGAATGTGTCAAGCTCCCTAATCCACAGTTTCTGTTTCTTTAAATTAACTACAGAAGCATTAAACTCCTGAGTATTGAGGACTGAATTAAAAAAATCACTTAACAGAAAGAAACGAGACTAGAGCCTGGCCAAAGAGGACCAAGCTGAAGCAGCTACCCTTCTCACTCAGAGAACCTCATGTACCCAAATGACACATAGTCTCTGGTTCCAGACCCCTCACATGACAATCTGTTAGACTCTATACCCTTTAGCTCTGACTCCAGCTGTATGAATTCTGACTAAGCAGAAGTTTAGATTGTCTTCTCTCTGCTCTCTGATATCCCTTCACTTTATGGATTCATGACAAACTCTGAATCTCAGATCCTGTGCACTCCCACACCACATCCATCACCCTGACCCCAATAGGCATACCGCCTGATTGGCTCTCCTTTCCCCCTGACAACACAAGCAATTGTGGAAGTCAAAGATGATAAATGGATGGTTCAAGGGGCCATCCAGGACCCTGAATCTTTGTTCATTTCCTCATATCCCTACTGACCAGAAAGTGCCGATTATGAGGAAGGATTCAAAATGCTTAGGATAACATTTAAAACACAAATCATATAAAATAGATATACCCAGAAGACCAAGCTTACCTTCCAAGGAAGCACTTAGGGAACGTAGTCAGTTTCCTTTTCCTGTCTTTGATCAGATTTCCCTGCTGGCACATCATTTTATACAATTTCTCACCCTGCTCAGAGATCATTACCCAAGTGTCTTGCTCCATTCCTAATTTTAGGCCTATCAAAAATGAAATAATAGACATCACATTAACTAAAAGCCTTCCCCTATTCACTCACACCCTCATTAAACAAGCCCTTATTGAAATAGCTAGCATCAGCTAGACTCACAGGAGTTCGTAACCTCCCGAATGCTACATCCCTTTAATATAGTTCCCCATGTTGTGGTGACTCCCAACCATAAAATGATTTTTGTTGCTACTTCATAACTGTAATTTTGTTAATTTTGTTACTGTTATAAACAGTAATGTAATTTTATGATGGTCCTAGGCAACCCCTGTGAAGGGGTTATTTGACCCCCAAAGGGTTGCGACTCATGGGTTGATAACCACTGAGCTAGAGGATGTGAGTTTGCACTCCATAGAACTGGGATCAGTTTTTAAGAAATCCATAGCTTCCTAGTGAGACTGCCCAGGCTACATTCCCAGTGTGTGAGACATCCCTGGGAGGCGGTGCCCCAAGGGCACATGGTTTTGTCAGTGGAGGAGAGGCAGATGAGATCACATAAGTATGCTTGAGGTCCATCCTGGAGGGGAACCCACATTGCAGCAGTAGAGGCTCATCTGCATATCTCTCTGTGTGAGAAATGCCACAAGTGTTCACAAAGACCGCATTTAAATGTAAAATCATGAATCCTTATTTCTTTCCCCCCCCCCCTTTCTTTTTCCTTTTTTTTTTTTTTTTCCTTCTGGTTTTTCAAGACAGGGTTTCTCTGTGTAGCTTTGGAGCCTATCCTGGCACTCGTTCTGTAGACCAGGCTGACCTGGAACTCACAGAGATCCGCTTGCCTCTGCCTCCAGAGTGCTGTGATTAAAGGCGTGTGCCACCAACGCCCGGCATGAATCCTTATTTCTAAGAAAGGATATTTTACAAGAGCCAGTAAAGCTGAGCAATCCAAGGCACAGGGTCCTGAGGTTTAGATAAGAATGCAGATGCTCTGGTGGGTTTGGCAGTGTCCTGGTAGAGTTACATCACTTAGGTCCTTTATGAGCCAGTGAAAAGAGCAGGTACTATGGGAAAGAAAGTTCTGTCACTTTATATGTAGCTTAGAGGACAAGGACTGGGAAAGGAACACAGCAGTGGCTATTTCCAGCTACAAAAGACAGGGGAAATCGGATGCCTTCCAGGTTTCAAAAGAGAAGAGGAAGTGAGGATGCTTTTCAAGAAAACTTCCAAGTAGAAGGAAGTCCACCAACCCTCAAGGGTCAAGGGAAGTCTGAGGGTCAGCACAGTAAGTGAGTAGGAAGGCCAGGAGGGAAGACAAAGCCAGGCACAAACAAGTACCCAAGTAAAGGAGTAGAAGCCCCATTAGTGGGAATGGATAAGCCTCACTTAGTTAAAGGAAGCCAGAACCACAGCTAAAATCCTGAGACTGTTCACAGTCAGTGGATGGGGTAGGGGGAAATGCCGCAGAAGAAGAAATGTTTGAATTGCATTTTAGTCTTCAAAGCTGCATAATCTTATACTAAAATTGTGGCTTTTACAATATAAAAACTCTTAACATTTATCAGTAAAAATTAATAATTAGGTAAGAATACAGTCTGAAAAGAAAAATGAGTATTATTAGAAGTTTTATAGAATATAGATTTTATTCAGTTTTTTTTTAATCTTGGGCAGATCATAGCCATTTGGGGTGAGGACGGGTCAACCTGAGGACAAATTCTGCTTGCCTTTTAACTAAATTATTTTTACAAAGGACAATTACCTCCACTTTCCGCACCCACCTTTCCGACGTTCTCTTTCTTTCAAAATAGCTTCAAACCATTCATGCTTTTCTTCAGGGCTTTTCGCCATGCATACAAACCATTTATTTTTTGCTGTGTTGTGTATCTTCCAACCATTGACAACAATGTGCCCACTGCTGTGAAAATCGGCTGGGAAGAAGTGAAGATGAATTTGAATTACATCAGCATGACCAACCAGTTCACGAGAGCACCAAAACCAGTAAATTAAAAATACATCATAGAAATATGTGTGATACTCATGTAGTATACATATAAAAATCAAGGAAGTACTTACAAGTTTGATATATTTAGTGCTCACTAATGGGATATAAATAACCCACAGTGCTGATATATTACATGCAATTAAATACTACAAATTAACATTAATTTAAACTATGTCCAAATATATTGGTAAACTTTTCATTACTTCCAAACCACCCCCATTATCTTCTTTTCCATGACTGAGTTCCAAAATGTATTCTTATCCTGGTCACAGCTAAATCAGTCATATTAGATCAGATATTGATCTGTATTTTAGATATGCACAGTAAATCTACACATGGCAATTTTTGATCATACAGAATCTCAATATTTTGAGTTTTTTTCTGTTTTGTTTTTCAAAACAGGGTTTCTCTGTGTAACAGTCCTGGCTGTCCTGCAACTCACTCTGTAGACTAGCCTTGAACTCACAGAGATTCGCCTGCCTCTGCCTCCTGATCGCTAAGATTAAAGGTATGTGCCACCACTACCCAGCTCAGAATTTCAAAATTTTACTAAGAGATTTTGAGTTTTCTCTTTTTATATACTTAGGTTCATATTCACTTAAGAAAGAGCAGAGCCTCACAATCCATGGAAGATTATGGATTAAGTAGCTTTCAAGAGAATAGAAAAATGACTTCACAATTACTCTACACTTTTTACTGTGAATCTTTAATGAACTAGTGAAAATAAAACCAAAGCAAAGTTTTCTATTAAAGGTATTTGCAAGTCCTCCTGGATATTTGTCACCTGACAAGGTCCTTACACATGAACCTTGTTCTGTTGCTTGAAAGATCCCAAGTTCCCACCTGCATTATCTCCCCTATAGTCACATTCCAGAGAAAAAAGTCTACAATGGGCATGCTCAGTCTGCATGAGGAACAGTGGGTCTACTTTAAAATTAGCACAGCCTAAGCTTCTCACAGCCAATACTAAAAACCAGCTAATACTATCTGTTTCTAAAGCCATAAATAATCAGACTGCCTAAATAACACAACAACTGCTGAACAAAAAGCATTTGGAAAAGTCAGATTGTACCAAAGGATTTTAAAGAAATTAGTTTGTGTCGGCATGCAAGCACCCATCATGGATATATGAGTGCCTGCTAAAACCAGAAGAGGGAGCTGGATAGATCCCCTGGGGATGGACTTAACATAGTTACACCTGGAGTTACGGTTACAACATGGGTATCTATGCTCATCTATTCACTGAACTCTTACAAAACTACTGAAAATTATGTGCACTTGATGACGAGTAAAGAAAAAGAGATGACTAACGTTAATACTTCTATTTAAATGAAAAAATGCATAACCATCTCTCCAGTCCCATGTCATATGATTTTAAATGGAAAAATAATGACAGTCCATTTAAAGTTCAGATAACAATTGTTTGTACATGTCTCTAAAATATCATTTGTAATTTTAAACTTATTTGTAGGCCTTACATATATGCATATATGGAGCATCAAAACTGAGTACATGTACATCATAATATAATTAGCATGTATTTTACAAAATAAGCAGTTGCGTCTCATTTGCTTTAAAATATGATGCTATTAAGTAGCTATATAACCACAGCACATTGTTAAAAATATTCACATTAAGAAACTTATCCATAAAGATCATTCTCTCTAAGACCAAGGAAAGGTCAATGGTGCTTACTCTTTGTTTGGTTTTGATTTGTTCTGTTGCTAGGGATCCAACCCAAGGCCTCTCCAATGCTGAGAATGCACTCTATTGCTGAGATATACCCAAAGGCTCTTTGTCCTATTTAGTATTTTTAAAATGTCTTCAAATGAAGTAAAAAGTAGGTGATTAACACAGAATTTAATAAGTTTCAAGGATCTAAAACATTAATTTTATAGAAGATGTCTAAAAGAGAATGGAATTTAAACTCCCACTCATTAAATGTGGAATGTTCAAGTTCAAAAAACCAATGTATCTGATTTCTTATAAAACCAGAAATGTTCAAAGGTCAAACCCAAACAAGTCATTAATGACTTTGAAGCCATTTGGCCTGAGAATTCCTTCCATTAATTCAGTACATTTCCACTGAAGGAGATGGAGTTCTTCCAAACTGACCCATAATAAACCCCAGTGAACACAGTGATAGCCACTTAGTACCATTGCGTTTCAGTAAGCTGGACAATATCCAAGTACTGTACACACAAGCTATGAAATGAGGGAATTGCCAAAATGTTTGTTCAAAGCATGTAATATTAATTATCTACATAATGCATTCAGCCCTTACTCTGATAATCAACAGTGAATGTACCAATTCTAAGGAAAAAAATGAAATTATAACCCATTCATGTGAATGTTTAACATGAAGAAAATTACTTTTGAAACAAATCTTTGATTCTATCAAATAATGCAAGAAAGAATTCTGACATCTAACACAACACAGAATATTACTTAAGACAAAAGTGAAAAAATACTCAAATAGCCCTTAAAACTATGAAAAGTTGCTCATCTCTTAACTGTTCTTGAATGCTCAAATTTCCTTAAATAACATAAAAAATTTGTATCAGAAAATATTATGCATGTGCACTCTAGTTGACATAGTAAGTTTATTAAGTTTTCATTAAGAATGTATTCAGGGCCACTGAGAATGTTCAGAAGGTGAAAAGTGTGTGCTACACACGCCTGACTGCCTGACTTCCTGAGTTCAAACTCCAGAACCAAAAGAAGAGAAGAATTCACTTCTGAAGGTTATTCTCTGAGCTCTATATGTATGCCCTACTCACAGGTATAGAATACTTATAGGATAATGATAATAATAATTATTTATTATTATTATAGAGTGAATTCTATCAAGCATGTACAAAAATTACTTTTGATAAGGTATCTGTGCTCATCTATTCAAGTAACTCTTATGAGACTACTGAAAACTATGTGCACGTGGTGACAAGGAAAGGAAAAAAGGATGAATAATGTTAATACTTCTATTTAAATGAAAATAAGCTGTATAATTATAAGAGCTTTTATTTTTAAGATTTTTTAAGAAAATAAAACGTTACAGCAATTATTCAATACCTAAAGCTGGTTCTAAATATTTATGTAGAAACACGATTCCAAAAAATCTATCTTAAGAGGATTGGACTTCAAAAAAATATCTGAGGGAAAACAGAGCAATAAAGCAATGCTTGCCCAACCTGCATTTGGGAACTAAGTTTGACACCCACCACAGTATAAACAAAACAAATGCGAAAACTATCATAAGACTAAAAGTTTCCGGTCTTATCACATTCAAATTTGATCACTTTATTAAGACATGTGCTTTGCCCAATAACTAGATCCACACTTTTACAAAGTCAAAAGCCTTCCTTCACTGTTCCTGTAAAACCACACAAAATGTTTTTTTAAAGATTTATTTCTTTATTAGGTAAAGTCTAGGGTCTGTTGTATGTAGAATCTTTAATAAAATAAACTGACTTCTTCATTTCCTATCTGTATCTTCTCTGAATTCTTCAGTTTTCTATTTGCTTAGCAAAGACTTTGAGCACCATATTGAATATGAGTAGAAAGAAATGGAATTCCTGTCTCACATATTTTAGAAGGGATTGTCTTAGCTTTTCCCCATATATTATAACATTAGTTACAGGTCTGTCACGTGTAATATTTATCATACTGAGTTTTGTTGCTTCTATTCTCAGTTTTCTCAGGGTTTTTAATCATAAAGAGATGCTAAAATTTGTTAAAAAGCTTCCTTTGCATCAGTGGAGGCAGCCATATGGTTTCTGTCCTTGAATCTATTATTTATGTTCTTTATTACACTTATTAATTAGTATATGTTACACTCACCCTGCATCCTTGTGATGACACCTGCTTGGTATAGTTCTCTCTCTCTCTGTCTCTCTCTTTCTCTCTGTCTTTCTCTCTCTCTTCTCTCTGTGTGTGTCTTTGTTTGTCTCTGTCTCTGTCTCTCTGTCTGTCTCTGTCTCTGTCTCTCTCTCCTTACCTAGTTTTGGTATCAAGAACAGGAAAACATTTAGCAGCTACTAATCTATTTTAAGGACTCTTACAGTTTTTCCTAACACAAGTTTGAAATTATAATGAAAATCAGAGAAAAATGTGATTCAATTTAAAACCCCTTCACTTTAAAAATACAGCCTTTATTCAAATCGTGTAAGTAAAAATATTTTATCTTTGTTTTAGTTAATGGTTGTAACTAATCGTATTTTTGTAAGCATGTTTGTAAAGGTCAAGTTTTCAAAAAACTTTACTGCCATTTAGTAATAAGGAGCTTTAATTCAGCACTTGGAATCCCAGAGATGACAGTTTCCCGTTGTGAGTCAACTGACAGCAGAGCCACATGTAACCACTGTGTGCCTAAAGTACACCTACCATGATTTATACTCTATGGTGAAAATGTGACAGAACAAAATTACTATTCAGACAAAACATTACTTACGTAAAGATAATTCATCCATTCATGAGACATTTCTCCACATATACTTTACAATCCCAAAAATAATTTTGCTAATATCCTGTGGTATTAAAGCAAAGTACACATACTCAGAGCACAGTAGAAATAGATTTCAAGTGTTTTTCTTATAAAATGGCATTTGTCAGCCAACACCATTTAAAAGCTAAACAAGGATCCTGCAGGCCTGTGTCTCACCTATCTCCGTCCTCAGCCCGCTATTACAACCAACAAGACACTGCTAAGCGCTGACGCATTGGAGTCAGAATTCTACGTTACAGGGAGTTTGCTAAGTGCTCTTACCTGTGCCATCATCCACATTTTCCACTTCCATCACCTCAGTGTTGATCCGACCTCGAAAAATATACCGATGTCCATCTGTGGATGCCTTGCTGTTCTTCAGCCGTCTTAAACAAATGAAACCACGAAGCTTTTGTTACTAAACTTAATATAAAGTATTGTCTTTAAATTCTTTGAAAAATATCTCCAGTTGGTTAGTATCACAAAAAAGTTGGAGGCATTTGATTTTACTCAGTCTTCTCATGCACAATAGTGATGGTGGGTTGCTGTGCAGGCTGGGAGGAGGGGAAATCATGAATCCTAAGCAAACCTAAAATAGTAGAGCATGACCTTGAACTTCTGATCCCCCTGTCTCCACTTCCCAATTGCTAGGACTACAGGTGTGTTCAACCATAGCTTGTTCGTGTTTGATGCTGGGGATTTAACACAGCCTTCGTGCTTGCTATAAAAGTGTTCTACCAATGAACTACATCTCCTTGCCCTTCTATATGAATTCAAATAAATTGATAGATTATAGGTAGATGATAGATAGATAGATACATACATACATACATACATACATACATACATACATACATAGTGCATGCATTGGGCTAAAGACTGTGTAGCAGCAGTGGTGTAACTATCCTTATTTCCTCAACATAAGACTTCAGTACTGTCAAACCTAATGACAGACTGTGGAAGTTGGTGGCTTTGGTGCCATACTTGAGATCTCACACCTCTGATTCTCGATTTTCAGTAGTTGAGAATTTCCAGCTTTTTCAAGACCTGGCAAGCAAACTCAATTAGTCCTTCTGATTACTTTAAAAAAAAAAAAACCTGCCTACTGGAAGCTCATAAGTCAAGCAGTACTCAGCGGCAGAACTGTTTCCTGGGGGCTGGAGATGACTCATGGTTAAGAAGATCTGTTGCTCTGCCGGAGGACCCGGCTTCAATTCCTAGAACCTACATGGCTGCTCACAGTCTCTGCCGTTCCAGTTCCAGAGGATCTGGCATCTTTTTCTGGCCTCCGTGGTTACTAGGTACACACACAGTGTACACACATATATGCAGATAAACACTTACACACATAAGAAAAAATAACTCTTTAAAAATATGTTTTTCTATTATTTTTATGATATGATCATGGTATACTTCCTTAACAAATCCTTTACTACATTTGCAATATTTCTGAAAGTATCAGCTACTTTAATAATAATCTACATTTTTAAACTAAAAATACAGAACAAAGTAAGAGTTCCACCAAGGTCCACAGATGACCACATGTAACAGCAAAAACCACAGTTGCATATGAGGATAATCAAGCAGGGAAAAGTTATTTTTCTTTTAAGCAGTAAAAACTCTCTAAAAGTATTCAAAACTAAAAACTACTCAAGTTCCATTCATTTGCCTTTAAATTTCAAGATTTGTTTTTTTTTCCCCGCTGAGTAATACTCCACTGTGTGAATGTACCATATTTTCTCGATCCACTCTTCAGTTGAGGGGCATCTAGGTTGCTTCCAGGTTTTGGCTCTTACAAACAACACTGCTATGAACATAGTTGAACAGATGTCCTTGTTGTATGAATGTGCATCCTTTGGGTATATGCTGGTTCTTGAGGTAGATTGATTCCCATTTTCCTGAGAAACTGCCATACTGATATCCAAAGTGGCTGAACAAGTTTGTACTCCCACCAGCAATGGAGGAGTGCTCCCCTTTATCCACATCCTCTCCAGCATAAGCTGTCATTGGTGTTTTTTTATTTTAGCCATCCTGACAGGTGTAAGATGGTATCTCAGAGTTGTTTTGATTTTCATTTCCCTGATGGCTAAGGATGTTGAGCAATTTCTTAAGTGTCATTTGGCCATTTTAGACTCTTCTATTGAAAATTCTGTAGTTCTGTACCCCACTTTTTAATTGGATTGCTAGGAGTTTGGGTGACTAGCTTCTTGAGTTCTTTGTATATTTTGGAAATCATCCCTCTGTCAGGTTTGGGTTGGTGATGATCCATCTTGTGTGAGGTAACTGAGTCATAGAAAGACAAGCATGGTATGTACTCACTCATATATGGATATTAGACATAGCGTAAAGTATAACCAGCCTACAGTTCACATTGCCAGAGAAGTTAGGAAACAAGGAGGACCTAAGATAGACATACATGGTCCCCCAGAGAAGAGGAAAGGAACAAGTTCTCCTGGGCAAATTAGGAGTGGGGGTGGAGGGAGGAAGGTAGGAAAAGAGAGAAGGGGAGAAGAGGAGGAGAGAGGAAGACAGGAAAGAGCAGGAAGAATAGAAGAGAGCAAGAAAGGAGATACCTTAATAGAGGGAGCCATTAAAGTTTTAAGAGAAATCTGGCACTAGGCAAATGTCCAGAGACCCACAAGCATGATGCCAACTAAGAATCTAAGCAATAGTGGAGAGGCTACATTAAATACTGTTGCCCTATACTGAGATTGATGACTACCTTAAATGCCATCCTAGAGCCTTCATCCAGTAGCTTATGGAATCAGAAGGAAACACTCACAGCTAAACACTGAGTCATACTCCTGGAATCCAGTTGTGGAGAGAGAGGAGGAATGAGCAAAGTGGTCAAGACCGTGTTTGAGAAACCCACAGAAACAGCTGACCTGAGCAAGTGAGAATGCACAGACCCCAATCATAAAGTTGGGGAACCAACACTGGACCCTCTGAATGTGGGAGCCAGTTAGGAGGCCTGGGCTGTCTATGGGACCTCTGACAGTGGAACCAGTATTTATTCCTAGTGTGCAAATGGACATTGGGAGCCCATTTCCCATGGAGGGATACTCTTTCAGCGAAGATACACGGAGTAGGGCCTAGGCCCTGCCCCAAATGATATGACAGACTGATGATCCCCCATGGAAGGCCTCACCCATCCTGGAGAGTATATGGGGGGTAGTTATGTAAGGGGCGTGGGAGGATGGGAGGAAGAGGGAACTGGGATTGATATGTAAAATAAGATTGTTTCTAAATTAAATAAATAAGTTTTTTTAAAGGAAAAGAATCACTTAAGTCAATCAACAGACTTTAAGTGACATAGTTTTTAATCTGACTCAATAACAAAAGTCTGGCTGGAATTTGACACTTATCATCATCGTGTGCTACAACAGCTAACCATGACATACCTGTCCACTACTGCCTCCTCCTCTGCTCTTGCCTAAATACCAACCTTCCCTGAGGAAGCAGGATGACACCTGGAAGCTACCTCCACATTCCTTCTCCTCCAATGACTCCTTCTATGGAAAACACAGCACATCTGGCTAGTCTTTCCTAACCCCTCATCCACAGTTAGCAGTCCTTCACAACTACTAAAAAAGACTAAGGAATTCATCTGACCTGTAAGAGCATGTAGCCCCTAACCATCACCACCCAACATGCCTCATGTTCATTTGGACAGCAATCTTAAGTGTATTCTGCTAAAACGCCTTTATAAATGCCATTAATCAGAAATGGAGGCCAGGGACCCTATGAAAATCGGAATAATAGAGTGTAAAACATCTATATATGTATTTGGTTCAAATTATGCATTTATTACAGATATTTTCTAAGCAGCAAATATTTAACTGCATAAAATTTTCGAGTTGTTTAACTTATTTAACGTTCTAATAAAAATTCTATCATTTTATCCTTTGTATATTTGTTAAGTATAGTAATAGGTCTACCTATGTTAAATATACAGGTGATTGTATGTTTTACAAGATGGAAAATAGGAACATGATATCATGAAAGAACATCTCTTGGAAATTGGTACCTTTTATTTCAAAAGCAATCACATGGCAAATGTCTTAATATGTTTAAAGACAGTTTTGGTCATAAGCAAAACAATTCTGTCTACACACACACACACACACACTCCCATAAAACACATGCACACTCATACACACACACTGATTCTCACATTCACAACACACACACATTCACACAACACATACATTTAAATACAAAAACACACAGACAACACACACACATAGCATACACATACAGATACAACACATACATTCACACAACATATTCACATGCACAAACACATACAAACACACACCATCTTATACACAGAAAGACTACATACAACATATACACACAAATGAGTGATTCATCATTGGATACTATTTTCAAAGCTAGTAATTTTCTTTATGATGTCACTTTGAACTTTGAACAGATTCTGTATCTTGTATGGTGGCACTGATTCATAATATATAAATCTAATAAGTAGTCTAAGTTGGTACATCTTTAATTTCTCAAGCAAATGACCTTATATGAAGACTCAGAACAATTTTGTTTTGTGTGATGGAATTGCGCCTCTGTATGTGTTTACTTTATCATCACTATCATCTAACTATGTGTTTTATGCTACCAGGACCAATATAAGTAGCAAAAAGCTGTAAATAATGCTAAAGTCCAGTGACAGAAGTAATAAACTATGATAATTGAATGGGATATAGTAAATAGTAAACCACAGAAGTAAAAAAAGAATAAACTATTGCTATATGAAACTAAATATACATTTAAGAAACCAACAAACAAAAAACATAAATAGAAAAATCTAAACATACTATGATACTATCTTTGAAAATTATCAAGCAAAATTAACATGTTATTCATTGGCATTGCATGCTACATCATAAATCATTTTTATACTAGTTTCACTAACATTGATATCATTGAAAGGATCCCAAAAGAGCTGGCTAATTTAACACATTCCTCTTCAAAGAACGTAAGTGGAGCGCTGAAATGGATGCACTGGTCCTTGGTTCTTGTGCTTTCAGCATCGTGGCACATAGAAGGAGGTTCAGTTTACTCTGCTCTCAAAGCAGCTCTAGATCTTCAAAGGCCTATGCTAAGGTGAAGTCTGTGAATGAACATCAACCTACTTTAGTGGTTCTCAACCTTCCTAACACTGTGACCTTTTTCATACAGTTCCTCATATGGTGGTGACCCCCAATCATAAAATCATTTTGTTGCTACTTCATAATTATAATTGTCTACTCTTATGCATCATAATGTAAGTATTTGATATGGAGGATATCTTATATGCAACCTCCAAAGGGGCTGAGAGCCACAAGTTGAGAACCACTGATCTGGTTATTTCCATCTCTAGCCACTGTTCAGTCCACACTGTGTGCATCCATTAAGGGTATCTATTATATACATAGTAGAGTTTTTACTTCAGAAAAATGTCTCAGATAATTTATGTATGACCGTAAGAGCTCAGGGCATCAGCATTTTTTACACTGACATTATCAATTTTGCAAAAGCTCAAGAGTAGTGGGAATTCGTTTCTGCCAATAGTTTCAGAGTCTTGGGGCAGGGCTTTAGTATGCTGCAATGATCCCTTATAAAGAGGAGAAGGAGTGTCTCCCACTCTCTCTTTTGGGGTGACAGTCTGAGACCTGACCATCATCCTGTATTGCAGCATCCTGTACTTCCAAGGGCAAAAGATGGCAGTGGCTATTTACCTTCTTTGTATGAGTGCTTCCCAAATAAATATCTGTTATTCTTTTATTCGGGCATTCATGGACTTCCTTAATCTGCCCACACTCTGGAAATGATGATCACATATATAAGCTTTCAGGTTGGGATGACTAAAAACGAGACTCACTATTGGTGCTTATGGATTCCGGGTACAGATTTAGGACTGATGGCTTAAGTGTAACAGGGAAGGGAATGTGGGCCCACGGTTCTCAATATGTCATCCATATGAATTCTGAAAATACACCAGATAGTAATAGGAGGAGACTGGAAAGTGATCAGGGCTAAAGCCAAGATGCTGTGCCTGCAGCAGATATGGGAGGAAATGGCTCAGACACAGAACCAAGAAAGAGGGAAACACAGCAACATCTCCCACAGGTATGCCTCTCCTTGAGAGAGCTGTGGGAGGAAGTGTCACAAGACAGTGACACGTAGGTCAGGACACATCAAGCAGGCAGAGAAAACAGGCGAGGCATGCCGGGGTGAAATGGGTTATAGGCAGGGTGAGTTCTGGGACTCCTGCAGGAATAGGGAGCCTGTGAGATGGAAGAAAATACTTCCAAAGTGTAACTCTGTTATGAGCTTACCTGTGTTTCCTTTTGCAGTACACCAACAGATTATCAAAAAGAAAAAACACCCGCTCTTGAATGTTTCCAGAAGAAATTTTCATCAAGACTCCACACATAAGCATCTCCGTGCAGGTGTCGGTAATGCTGGATCCCTGGGTGAGGCAAAGAAAAGAAGCAGTATCTGGTCACCTGGTTTCTATTGTCTTTGTGCTGGAAATCATACAAAGAGCAGCATGCAGCTAGGCGAGCATACTGTCACTGCGCCACAACCAAAGCCCCAACTGAATTTTGGTATGCAATTATTCTCCTTTAAATTTCTCTTGTTTTTATTAGGAGCAATGTGAACACAGGACAAAGTGTACAGTTAAGGAGTTACACTGAATGGCATCTTCCTCCCATCAGTCTTCAGGTCATTCTACAGGGAGACTCTAGGTCTACCTAAGACAACTGAAGTTACAACAGACAGGCTGAAACAGAAGCTGGGGGAGCCCAGGAGGCCTAATCCCCACCAAAAGAACCACAGACAACTAAAAGAGCTAGAGAATGGGAGCTGGGAGAGGGAAATGGTCCTCCCTAGCTAAGAGCACACGAATTGTTCATCTAGTGTCAAACAGTCAGCCCTGAAAACTCAGGTGTGTATCAGGGGAAGAAAACACATGAACACATATGCACATGCACATTCTTCCCTCCTCCCTCTCTCTCTCACACACACACACATGAATGTAACAACAGCAATGAAAAAAATAAGAAGGAGCCCATGAATTTCAAAGAGAACAAGATATAGGGGAGGATTTGGAACCACAGAAGGGGAGGGGGTAATGACATGATTACATTGTAATCTCAAAAATAAAAGAATAAAAACGTCTAAATTATTAGGGGGTATTAATTTAAAGATCTACTCTAATTACAGAGGAGAAAATAAGCAAAAACTGAAAAATGGGATGGAGGATAGCTTAGGAGGCAAGAACTTAGTTCCCAGCACCCAAGCAAGGTGGCTCCCAAAGCCTTAACTCCAGCTCAAAGGGCTCCGATGCCTCTGACTAATTCTTACCACAGTGCTAGCTTGAGCGAACAGTGGCCAGATAGAAGCAGCCATCCCAAGGCATCCACAGAAAATAACTCTGCACAGAGCTTCAGCGCTCTGAACAACACCACTGGAGTCCTACAGGGGCTGTGTCTGCTCTCACTCCCGGCTAACACTTTAGTCTGTTTGCTGCTACCTAGCCAGTCACAAGGTACACTGAGTCAGATTTAAGAGGAAAAGAAAAAAGAACACAAGTTTTCAGAGGTTCTCTCTCCCTGGTCTCTGTAGCAAGAGTATTTCGGCTTTAAATGTATCTGGCTTCTTTTAATCTAAAGGTAAATTGCTGGTTCTTGTTTAAATCAATGTTTCTATCTTTGGTTTTGATGTTTAATATTCAGACCATTAACTGTAATTTCATATTTGCACAACAATTACAAGTACAGGTTGTATAGTAGACTAAAAAAACTAAAGTAAATTGAAAATTCAAATCTGTAATAAGAAAATTCTAAACAGGAAATTAATGCAGAGAATGTATTTTTTATGTCCACTTGCTTATCCATGTTACAAACATACATAAAGTCTTAGGAAACCTCTTCATTCTATTCACCCTGGCAGTTTATATACGAATGTAAACCTTTACATAGTTTAAGCCACTCTCATGTGTTCCCTGTCCCAAATTATCATGAACATGAGCATAGGTTCAATTCCAGTAGCATGATTTCTAACTAGTTATTTATAATTGGTAGTATCTTTATCTTCAGGATAATCTGATTAAAATTAGCATGTAACAAAGAGATACTTACCAAGTTGCTTATATAAGTTACTCTTTCCTAGCAGGAATTTCACTGAAGGTACAGAATACATTCCCTTTAAGCTACCCTTGCTGTGAGTAATACACACCTACCCAGTGAGTACAAAGGGTCATTGCCATGTTATCCTACCCAGAATGTTAAATAAATATTCCAAGTAAGTAATCCAATTTACATATTCAGACAGTAGCAAATATTCCTACATGACATAAGGCCTAAAAATGTGTTACCTGATCTTTCACTTGTAAGATAATTACAAGCAATTTATATAAAACAGACCTAACAACTGATTCAAAGTATTCAATGGTAGCAAAGCCACCAGGCACTTTTCTTCTTTCTGGACCTATAGTAGTCTACATTTCAAACTGCTTTTTAACACCACTGAGTATTCTTTTAATAATGTAGAATGTCACTTGGCCTGGCTAGCATTTTATCTTTATTTTGACAATTAAGGACAATATTTCATTCTAAACAGCTACCTATTCCCTACCATATATGTATCTAATAAATGAAAACTGTGATTAGATACTTTATCAAGAAAAGGAACATCAGATTTTGAACATCTCTACATGTCAAGAAATATGCTATACATTTTCTCCTGGCATAAAATATGAAACTATTAATTAGCTAATTGACTCCCACTAAAATTAAGCTCTGTCATCAGTCCTCTCTTCTTGCTGGATGTCAGTCACAAGATTAAAGAGAAAGTAAAAGCTTAGAGAATGTTAAAGAAGACAAAATGCCACAAAGACTCCCCAAACACATGCAATGCCTTGGCCAAGATCCACAGAGACAGTCCCACTTAATGTGAAGAAACTGACTAGGCTGGTGACATCGAGATGGGAGCTTGGAACTAGGACACTTAATGAACCCTCTGGACACTCTTACAGAGAAAAACCTCTTTAAAATATGGAATCAAGTACAAATTGAAAAATATCACAGTGTTATCATCTAAATTCGCAAGAAAACAAATATGACACACAAAAGATGTATCTGATTCACCTTTCTGGAGTTTCAAATTGTTAGCTCAAATTATAACTTCAGTAGTTTAATGTAAGGTTAAATAAAATGCATGATATATTCATGTTACCAGGAAAAAGTCACAAAATTTCACTCATTTAATGATATTTTTCCATGGATTTGTTTTTGGTGCCCCCGTTTCCAAAAACACTTTTCCTCAACCAACAGGAACCACTCATTACTCCGTTCTACCTTAAGGTAGAAGATGCTCTATTTCCCAAGTTACCTAGAGGGGAAACAGAACAATCTCATCCACAGCTTCTGGAAGATTCAAACTCAAGAAATAATAAAAGAACATATCGTGAAATCAATCACAAACTAAATCAAATGTAAGCAGCAACAAGATTCTCACATCAACAAGGACTGATTTTTAAATGGCCCTGTAGAGCTGGGAACATGTCTGTGATATTAGGGGTGAAATCTGAGTGGTCATTAACAAACCTGGTCCATGTAGCAATTTCCAAATTAGCCTGGACCATAAGATGAGATTCTGAATCAGAAACAAAAAAATGTAAAATTGTATTTCTCCATGTGAAAAACAATCAAGAAATGTCATATTTCCCTTCTGTTTCTTTCTATTTCTGAAATATAATAGCAGCCTTCATCACTTGCCCCCAATCTTTCTTTATTAATGATTCTCTTACATTTTATTGGGATTTTTCTGACTACTTCCAAATAGACATGGCAAGGACTTGAAGCTGGACTGCTAAACAATGTCATGTTATTGCTATTCTTTCATCAAAATACTTCAGTGTGAATCCACAACCTACAGCTAAAACCACATAACAGACCCACCAAAAGCAGGCTGAAACTGAGACTAGTCCAGTTCTCTGAAATGAGTCAACAGCTCTAACTAAGCTTCTCATGGATTTCTTGCCCAAAGTATATTAACTGTTGGCATATGAGTTCAGTAAGTCTGGTAGAGTGCTCTGAAACTCTCAAGTTTGTGGCTGCATCTCATTTACTCATTATCAAAATATGGTGGACACTGCCATTCTCCTTGGAACTAGGAAAACAAACTGTACGGACAAGAAGTATAACTGCAAAGATGAACAATTAAAACATGACATCTCCTGGCCATAGTTATTACAAAAACGCTGAGAAAACACCCATTTCTTTAATGAACTTCCTGTTAAACAGCAGGCAGGAAGCATAGCTCCTTCTAAGAATCAGTTCTATTTCAGTTGCCACTTTGCAAACCTAAACTTATTGGTTTGAGAAATTGGGTAAGTTAAATTTCCCTAACTTATGAGTCAACAAAAAGAGAATAATAACTCAGAAAATGTTCAGACTCACAGGCACAGTTGGGGTATGGTTAACTCCCTCCCCAGAGGCTGATGTTCTAGAGACGTATTATGACAATGTTGAGGTGGTAGAGCTTTTAAAGGCAGGTGAGTGGTGAAGGTAACTAGGTCATGGGCACTGACCTCAAATATATTAAAGCAGATCTTATGGGACTGGGTCAGTTCCTCGTGAGAATTAATTGTTAAAAGGGAACTTGGTGCTTCCCCTGAACCTCTCCTTTACAGGTGTCAACTCCTCCTCACGTACTCCCAACATGCTCTGTCATCTACTCCAAAGCTCTCTCACACCTGAGCAGACACCTCTGATATGCTGTTGGATCTCCCAGACCATGAGCTAAGTGACCAAGCTTAGGTGTTCCCTTCAGCCACTTACATTGGCAGCTCAGTATTTCCCCGATGGTCAGCATCAGATGATCATCAGTCACCTCAATCTCCCCTAACCGAATTAACCCAAACAAGATTACCACTGTCTTAGATTTCTATATTGAGTTTTGACAGGAGTGCTAAGAGGTTTGAAAAAAATTATTTAGCTAGAGTTTGGTAAGATTTTCACAAAGTTCGGTTGTCCCAAAATCATTTTCGAGTCTGACACTGTCCCTTTTCTATTGTTAATCTGTCCTATACAGTTTCTATAAAGTTAACTTTAACATGAAAATCCATGGTTATTCTATTTATAATTACTATTGTTATGATGAACCACAACCCAAAGCAAGTTGGGAAGGAAAAGGTTTATTCAGCTTACACTTCCACATTGTTGTTGATCACTGAAGGAAGTCAGGACAGGAACTTGAGCAAGGCAGGAACCTGGAGGCAGGAGCTGATATAGAAGCCATGGAGGGGTGCTGCTTATTGGCTTGTTCACAATGGCTTACTCAGCTTTATTTCTTTTTTTAATTTAAATTTAAATTAGAAACAAGGTTGCTTCACAAGTCAGTTCCAGGTCCCTCTCCATTTCCCTCCCCTCCTCCTTTGCCCTCCCTCTAACCCCCCCCAATATCCCCTCATTTCCCCAGGGAGGGTGAGGCCCTCCATGAGGGTGTCCATAGTCTGTCATTTCATCCAGGGCAGGGCCTAGACCCTCCCCCAAGAGTTCAGGGTGAGAGTGCATCTCACATTGTTGGATAGGAGTCCAAA